AGTACCATTCTTCTGGTCTGCTAACTCAAATTTCAGGGAACAGATGTTGCAAAAGCTATGTGAATTTGTTTAAAATGAGCCCTGCATTGGAAGTGAAGAGCCCTAAGACCCAGTAGTTGTTTGGTCATTAAGCAGAGTGCAACCTTTGTAAACTCTGAATTTCCCCCCTGAGCTTAAGGCTACTCGTGTGTAAAGACTGAAGAGTGTGTCCAGAAAGCACACCTAGCACATAACCTGGCACTCAGCAGACACACTATTCATTTGTCCTCTTTCCCTTATTTCATCTAGGAGCAGAAGTATCAGACACTTGATCTTCTTCCCAAATATCTTCTGGGTACCCTAAAGGGCACATACACTGCAACGTACAGAATATCCAGTCAGTATGATGGGAGGCAGATCAATCATGGTTCATATTACCAAGGATGTGAGGAATGCATGGTTATAACACAGGTTCACAACCCAGACAATCTGGAGCATGACCTCGCGCCGCATGGAGATGTTGCCTGTGGTCTGACACCAATAAGCCTAATGAAATATCTGGATGTCTATACCTCCTGTGTCATGTGTAGGCTCAACAGATATCCTGAGTCAGAAAATGATATTTAACCACCCAGGGTTACCAACTTGAGTTCTGAATGCAATGTGAAAAAATAATTCAGATACAGTTTTTCCAAAGAACATCAGTGTCCAAGCTGTTGAAAGCCTACTCTATGACACCCAAGAGATGTCTGAATTCTACTGACACACTAGCACAAATGAAAGCAGAGAAAATCTCCAAGATTTGGCCAAGTCATCATCTTATAAGTAGGAGGCATCACTTTCTAGTGGTCTTGAGCATTCGCTAAAGAAGATCAATTTTAAAATATCTAATGAATGTGAGTGCTTCTGGAACCAAAGTAGCAAGTGTCATTATACATTCTTTGAAAAAAAAGCACAAAATAATACTATTGTTATTTGTATACTGGACAGGTATCAATTATCTCATAAGACTCAGAGAAACCTCTCTGTGTGCAAGTGGAATCTTCTTTGGGGAATAAGAAGCCATTTCTGTTTCCCAGGTTAATTTGCAGCCCTTTGCTTTTACTTGTTTTATTCTAAACTTGGCTAGACTCTGATAAGATCAGATAAACACAAGGAGCAAGCAGAAAAGGACACATGTGTGTTCCCAAGGGCAGGGTGATCTGGCTAAGGGGCAGTGAGGCAGCCACTCCCTTTCCTGCATGCTCACTTCTCATGCAAACACTAGAAAGCACTCATGGAAGTTAAGTCTGGGGCTAGGGATGTAGAAAGGCTGTTAGACCCTGGCTGATGTGGCTCAGTGGATGGAGTGGCAGCCTGCAAACCAAAGGGCCACTGGTTTGATTCCCAGTCAGGGCACATGCCTAGGGTGTGGGCCAGGTCCCCATTAGGGAATGCTCGAGAGACAACCACATATCAATGTTTCTCTCCCTCCCTTTCTCCCTCCCTCCCTTTATTTATTTATTAAAAATAAATAAACAAAATCTTTTTAAAAAGACAAGAAAGGCTGTTAGTCCAACTGGTACACTCAAGATCTAGAAAATTTAAAAAGCTTATCACTGCAGTTCAGTTTTAACTGGTGTGAGTGACCTACTCCTTTCATATTGCTCTAGAACAGCAGAACACACACACACACACACACACACACACACACACACACACACCTAATTAAGTGTTTCAAGGAAGCAGTCAACTTTATGAGCTCTATAAGAGCCCTAGGAACCACAGATCAATAGCCAAGTTTATGTGGGAAGTTATATCTGAATGGCTAATATATATACATAGACAGAGAGAGACATAACAAAAGCAAATGTATTATCTTTCATTTACAAAAATGTTGCCTACATCACCAAAGGGCTATAAAAAATAGGGTTTTATTTTTTAGTAGTAGTGATGGGTCCTCACAGAAACTTCATTACACTTTTCTCTAAAAACTTGCATTTAAGAGACATCTAGCACAGATTAATGGACAAAGCCTCTAACTGATGCTTCAGAGGCTGCTCACGTGACTTTAGTGTCAGGAGGTTGGGAGTCCAAATTGCATTTCATTAGCTATAGCCTTAAGAAGAAATGAGTAATGGTTGTTGTCTATTTTTTTTAAAGATTAAATTCACTCCACATGGTAGGTATTGTCTGCAATCAAGGTTATCAGTTGAGCTGATTCAAAAGAGAAGGTTTAAGGAAAGGGGCACCAGGGATTCCAGGGCGGTAATATTTCAGGGCGACTACTCCGAACAGGACAACAACTACTTAAAACCAGACGTTCTAGTATGTTTCTTTCTGAAGTGATCTGTGATGAAGAGTCTATTTCCATAAATACATTGTAAGTCATGCGATCCTTATATATTCATTTTATCACATATGTACCATAACTTGTTACTCCATAATGGTGACAGAAGTACCAGACAATTTTTAAATAACTCAAGTAATCAAAATTAGATTCTATTTCATGTTTTAAATGTACCTCTTTAAGACTGATGAAGTTACTTGGACTTAAATTCCTTTTCTCCAATTTTCATATCTGTAATACTTAGCAAGCAAAGAGGCTGCCAATCCAGATGGGGAAGGGGAAAACACAAGACTCTTAGAAAAATCTACTTATTGGTAAAATCATTAAAGTGGTCACAATTATATAAAATAACTGCAGATTTGAACTTAGTGAAAACATGCTTTTAGTCTCTTAAGACATGCTTTATTCTCTTAAGACTAAATTTTTTTCTTCTTTTAACTGTTTATATTTATTTATTTTTTTTATATTTTTTATTTAAAATGTTGTAAAGAAAGAAATAAAAAAATCAAAGTCATCAACTCCTAAATTTATATCCCATATAAGTGTGTTTAATACTTTTCAGGATGATGTAATAGTTTTGTTACTATTGGTGTTTAGCTAGACATTGAGAAGGGGAGCAAAAGAGACTAGACATTGAGCTTACTACATTGGGAAGCAGAGCCTGTTTGCTTCACCAGTAAGCTACAGCTTTTTCACACTCCAGGAGACCACAGCATTGCTCCACCAAGGGCATTCACACTCCTCCCTTCTCCGCTCTGGTACCAGATTGTTGGGGGATGCAGGAGAGGTGCCAGACCATAGAGGCCTGTCAGTCTAACATGTGAAAAGACCCTATCCAAAGCCTACAAAAATCTTGGGAAGTAGATTAGTCATTTTGAGAAAGCACCTGGTCCATCCCAAACCCAAGCTTCTGGATGCAACCCCAGGGGAACAAGGAAGTGCTTTCTCTTGCTTGTGATGCACACTGACACAATGCATGCACCTGTTCTCTCCATGGCCTCTAGGAGGCAGCCTGAATCCCAAACCATAGCAATACACCACAGCTGGAAACACATGCTAAGCTACACTGATGCTGGACTGGATTGTACTTTTTTCCTACCTCTTTTTTAAAATTATTGTTCAATTAAAGTTGTCTTCATCCCCGCCCCCACCATTACTCTCCCCTGCCCTACCCATCCCCACCCCCACATTCAATCCTCCCCTCCACTGCTGTCTTTGTCCATGGGCCCTTTATACATGTTCCTTGCTAGAGGAATGGATATAAAGGAAAGAATAAACAAATGGGACTACATCAAATTAAAAAGTTTCTGCACAGCCAAAGAAAACATCAGCAAAATGAAAAGGGAACCAACTGTATGGGAAAATGTACTTGCCAATGATACCTCGGACGAGGGTTTGATCTCCAAAATACATAAAGAACTCACCGGACTCCACTCCAGGAAGACAAGCAATCCAATTAAAAAATGGGCAAAGGACATGAACAGGCACTTCTCCAAGGAGAACATACAGAGGGCCCAGAGACATGTGAAAGGATGCTCAGCATCACTAGCCATTAGAGCAATGCAAATTAAAATCACAATGAGATACCACTTCACACCTGTCAGAATGGCCATCATTAACAAATCAATAAACAACAAGTATTGGTGAGGTTGTGGAGAAAAGGGAACCCTAGTGCACTGTTGGTGGGAATGCAGACTGGTGCAGCCACTGTGGAAAACAGTACAGAGTTTCCTCCAAAAACTAAAAATGGAACTGCCTTTTGACCCAGCAATTCCACTGCTGGGTTTATACCCTAAGAACCCTGAAACACCAATTCAGAAGAACCTATGCACCCCAATGTTAATAGCAGTGATTTTTTTTATTTTTAAATATTTTATTGTTTATGCCATGCAGTTGTCCCAATTCTCCTGTGGCCCCCTCCGCCCAGCCTATGCCCACTCACATAGTCAATCTCCACACATAGATATACAGTCAATGTCCATGTCCATGGGCCATGCATACATATACTTTTACTAATCCCTTCATCTTCTTTCAGCCAGTGGACTGTATTTTAATATGGAGCAGAAGCTCTGGGCAGTGGCCTTCATTCTAGCCCTATTGAAGACAAGATTGGACTTCTTACATGGCAAGATGGACAGAGATGGGAAGTCAGGAGGGGAACCCCCCTTAATTGTACATCATCAATAAACCAAACCATAGAGCCACAGCCTCCTATGCAGGCCTCAGGAAACCTTTTCCTTTAGACCAGGAGTGTCAAACTCATTTTCACTCAGGGCCACATCAGCCTCACGGTTGCCTTCAAAGGGCCAAATGTAATTTTAGGACTGTGTAAATGTAACTACTCCTTAACTAGGGACAAGGAACTGGGCGCTGCCGATGGGTAGAAACAAGGTGCCAGGATGGATAAACAAGCTGGAGGGCTGGATTCGGCCCACGGGCCTCATGTTTGCCACCTGTGCTTTAGACAGTGCAAGAACCCCACTTCCACCAATACAAGTTTTAATGTTTTTAAAGGGCAGATAATGCTCATAAGACCATCTTCATTTGATTTCAGTAAAATTTTCATGACCTTAGAATGAAGAGTTTTATAAAATATAATCTTCAGTGCATTTGAGGGACCCTTAGGCACTCTACAAGATACTTTAAAACAACACAAAAACCAACATTGGAGTATTATTATAAAATTAATTACCTATATTAATTGCAGTTTCTTGTTTGTCTCCTGTCAACACCCATATTTTAATTTCTGCCTTCAACAGAGTGGCTATGGTTTCTGGAACACCTGCTTGAAGGCGATCTTCTATGGCTGTGGCTCCAAGTAACAGTAAGTTCTAGATTGAAAAATATCTTCAATTAAAGATTGGTACATACTTGAGAGCAGAATTTATGACAAAACTCTGACAAAAGAAAGGCAGTCAAAATGTTCTAAGACAATCATCATATTTCCTCTACACAAAACCTTTGTTTGCAGATAGTTAATGATGTGTAGATATGTGTGATATCTGAGATATCTCATTAATAATATCTAGGGTAACTATTCAAAGCTATTCCCCATATTAGAACCTCTCCACACACACAGGCAGCCCACTACTCATTCTTGGTACATTCATTTCTTGGTACATGGGCACCTTGGAACAGAAATAACCTGGAAGGAGAATACATGGGCCACTTATCCCGAGGATAGTAATAGTACGTGAGCCTCCCCTATCACTCCACAAATGACTCAAGTATTATGTTATATTTAAAACATGAGAAAAACGAATTCATTGATTTAAAAAAAAAAACTGAGCTTACCTGGAACTGATTCAACTGATTAAAAAATCCAAGTATCTCATGAGCAACCACCATGTATGTCTGACTCTGAATGTTCAAGTCACCTATTTAATCACTTTTTTCTGACTCTAAAAGGAACCTGGGATATTTCCAGTAAAGCAGGGCAAATGAACATTTGAGTTCAAGTCTACTCTCACTCAAATTCCATGAGCATGACAAGTGAATACAAAACTCAAAAACTGAGTATAAAAATGCAAAGGGGAAATAAATAAACAAACAAAGACAACCCCCCCACACACACACACATAAAAAGGAATGAAAAAAGCAATCAAGTAATAATTTCAGTCACAAGAAACTGAAAACTGGACAGATGGTTGCTGATATGAAACAGAAAAAGCTGAAATGTACTCCCAGATTTGAGATATTAAAATAAAGAGAAAAGAAAAAAACACTATAGGCCAAAATGGAGTCACTATCACTAAGCCATGTCACTAAACCAAAACTTAATAACTAACTTAATTGCAGTTTCAGCCTCTCCTAGGAATGAAATTTTAAACCAATCAGTCTGGAATTTCCTGAGAAATACTAGTGAGGTAATCTGCCTAATAACCCCCCTGCCAATCCCTTCCCAACAAAAGATGACCTAGCCTAAAAATAATCCCTTCTTTTCTTTTGTTAATAGCTCCCCTGACACATCCTTCTGCCTATAAAAACCTATTTGTATAACCCTTCAGAGAGCCCTTCTAGTTACTAGATGGGATGCTACCTCATTTATGACTTGCTTAGTAAAGCCAATCAGATCTTCAAATTTACTCAGTTGTATTTTATCCTTTAACAGAGGGACTCCAATATGTGGAATGCTACCTAATGTCTTGAGATAAAAAGACAACAACAAAAAAATGAAAATAGGCAATATGGACTAGCAATGGCAAAGTGTAAAATTAATAGAACACTAATAAATAGGTGTGAAAATTCTTAGCATGTACAATGTCCAATCAGCCTATGAATTCTGATTGCTGACATAACTCAATAGGGGCAAGCTCATCTTGTTAAGCCTAATCTTAGGCAAACCCAGAAAATCCCTCATGTTGTTTTGACCTAAAACTTCTTAAGATATCACTAATGTTTAGCTGAGGGTAGCTAGACCACAGATAGTCCATAAAAACTATGTGTTTCTTTAAACAAAGTAAGAAAGGATTAAAAGTTAATGGCTAAGAAACTTACCAGAAAAGAGAACATTGCTCTATAGCAAAAGGATGCCAGTTCAAAGACTTTGTTCACTAGGTGAGTAAGCCCCTTGTGGGCATTAAGGACATGATCACATGCAATTACCTTCTCAATGATTTCATAACACTCCTCTAGCCGCTGAGCTCTGTCTTTCAATATGGTGCTGGCTTCTTGGTAGACTTTCAGCCACTCCTCATACTCACTCTCAGAGAGGTCAGCGTAAGCCACACAGAGAGTCCGCAAGCCTGAAACACAGCCACAGTGTATCCCAATGATGCCACTAGTGACAGGGACAAGCAGGATGCTGTATCTCCTAGCTAACACCATGTGGCTCCATTTTATACCAGCATGCTCGAAATTTTGTAAGAAACCAGCTGTTTTCAGTCACTCTAATTCAACTCTAATTCTAATTTCCTTCTACAAATCTAAAAAGAAAATTTAAAAACAACTCTACTGTATTTTAACTTTTTTAAATCCTCACCAGATGATTTTTTTTCATTGCATGTTTAGAGAGAGAGAAACATTGATGTCAGAGAGAAGCATCAGTTGGTTGTGTCCTGCACATGCCCTCACCAGTAATTGCACATGCCTAGACCAAGGATCAAACCCACAACCAAGGTATGTGCACTTGTAACAGGGAGAAGCCAAGGTAATTGCATGTGATCATGGCCCATTGGGATTTGTAATGGGGTCCAGAACTCAGGGTGTCCAGGAAATGTTAGGGAAAAAAATGTATATATGTAGAATGCCCTCACCCCCAGAAGTCTGAGCTGGGGGATGGGACACATGGAGCAGAGCCATGGAGAGTTGTTTTGAATAGCAATGGTTTTGCAGATAACCTCTAGAACAGTCATTTAACATATCTACAACCGTTAACTGGTTTCATGGATATGTTAAATCGCTGTAGCCATGCTTTGAGCCAAGGGGATGGGAGTGGCATCAACCCATGATGCAACTGGGAGGCAACTCCCTCTGGATTCAGTGCCTGCGTGAGAACTTGGAGATGATTGGCTCCATGACATGGAGCCACGCCTGCCCAGACTTACTATGGCAGCCCAGTAAAGCTGAATGAATACAGGAATGCTGGCAGTTGTAACCGATTGTGGGAGTAGTCAAAAATGGGGCTGCAGAGAAAGATTGGTGATGGGATGTAAAGCCAGGCATGGCAGCCATGCTGGGGCTTTTTGGGACCACTTGGCTTTGGTGAGAGTCAGGACTACATGGCTTTGGGGTGCTCCCTTTTTGCCACATGACTTAGGAAGCAGGAGAGACTTTTCCTGGAAGAAAAGGGGTGAAAGGATTCTTTCTGGTGGGCCATGCAAAGGTGCCACATGGTTTTGGATTAACTGGAAATCACAGTGGCAACACTGCTGATGGTGCCAGAACCGAGGGGCTGCCTGAACCATGGACCTCTACTTCTTTTCCTGAGATACGGTACCCCAGACTGGGCAGAGGGAGAAGGAAGGACTGTGAGTTTGTGGGTATTCTAAAGGACTTCAGTATTTTTAATGAAGACATTACATCATTGCTCTAAGTCTGTATAACTTTTTAAATAAATAATTCCTTTCCTTTTCACCAATCTCTGGCATTGAGAGATGTCTTCCTCTGGAGGTAGGCAAGGAGAACCTAGTATGGGGGGGGTACCCCTGCAGCACAAGGGTGGATCCATTCAGTAATAGTATATCATTCACACTCCAGCCCCGGGTCTATTCTGTAACACATTGATCATGAATCAAACCCTCAATGTTTGGTTATGGGACAACACTCCAACCAACTAAGCCACACCAGCCAGGGCTCTACAGTATTTTAATATAAACCACCTTTCCTATAAGTTTGAGAGTACATGAGAAGCCATGAGAGTTAGCCCCACAGTGGAGAAGTACAGGAGCTGCACAGGATCCATCTTTATATGCACAGCAGCAGGTGTCAGCAAGTGGAAGTGGCAGGAGGTACACTTCGAGACAGCAATAATAGCCCAGTGTGCAACCCTGTGAAAGATCTGGACTTTCGAGCTCTTGTGTGTACTGTGTGTGTGTGTGCCTGAGGGTGCACCTACGTGCCTGCGTGCAGCCTTAGGAACACATGAAGAGAAAGCAGCAGTCAACACTTAAGCACTTAAACAAGGCTCCAGCTTTCATCACATTGACTCACAGGAAAACCTGGCATTATTACAGGGTGAAGCCAAGAGGGGGAACCCCAAATGGGCATTTGAAATGGGGTCCAGAACTCAAGGTATCCAGGAGATTCTAAGATGTCTTCACCCCTTCCCCCACAGGTGTGAGTTCGGGGAAGGGGCACACAGGGCAAGAACATGCAGGGCAGCTTTGCAGCTCATCCACGGCATAGTCATTTAACACACCTATAGCCTTCAGCTGGTCACTTAGATATGCTAAATAGCTATGGCCATGCTCTGGGCCAGGGGGATGGAAAGGGACTCTCACACCCAAGATGTGACTGGGGGGCAGGTCCCCCGAGTTACAGCACCTGCACGGGAGCTCAGAGAAGATTGGATCCATGACATGGAATCACACCTGCCCAGGCCCACAATGGCAACCAGAAAAGCTGGAAAGGACAGCAGATTGAGGGCAAGTGTGGCCGAGTGTGGGAGGAGTTGGAAATGGGGCTGCGGAGGAAGATTGGCGTGGGGATTTAAACCCAGACACGGCAGCCACTGAGGAGAAAAGCACCTGGCTTTGGCTGAGTGGGGACTCCAGTGGTCCTGGGAAAGAGGACCACTCGGCTGGAGCGGTGGAGAGAGGACCACGTGCCTTTGCCAGAGTGGGGACCCCCACAGCTTTAGAAGGGGGAACCACCACCCAGCTTTAGCAGAGATCCCAGCGATACAGCTGAAGGTGCCGGGAACCCAGGGAGGTCTCCCAGTCAAGACGGATTACTGGGAAGAACTGAGGGCTGCCTGAGCCAAGGACTTCTATTTCCTTTCCTGAGATATGGTACTCTGGACTGGGCAAAGGGGGAAGGAAGGACTGTGTCTGTTTGTGGGTGTTTTAAGGGACTTTAGGATTTTGATGAAGACATTAGGTCACTACTTTAAGTTTGTATAGCATTAAATAAACATTTCCTTTCCTTTTCACAAATCTCTGGCATTGAGAGACATCTTTCCTATAGACAGTGGACATAACAGACCTGGGGGTTCCTTTCGGTAATAGTATATCGTCCCAGGCCCCCCTTGTTTGTTCTGTAACAGCATCAGTGTTCTTTAAAGCCTTCCAGAGGACTCCTTTCCTGTTCCACTACAGTTCAGGGAGCTATTACCTACAGTCATTGGCCTCCTCTGCACCCCTCCCAATGGGCAAGCCAGTGTCATAGGACAACCAGAGAGGAACAAGAAAAGAACAACACGAGTTTTCCAAGAAAGGGAACCACCGCTACAAGCTGATGCAGCACAGTGCGAGCTGGCCTGCCCTTTCCCTCCGTCCTGCTGGTTCCAAGCCAGCAGAGTCATGTGTAGGTGACTGAGTGCAGGACTTGCCACGTATCTTGTCACTGCCACGGGCACAGAGTGTGGAGGATGGGCCCAGGAGTTCGAGTGAGAGAAGTACGCTCCTGTGATGCCAGCCAAGCACAACATGACATGTCTGCTCGGAACATGACTGCTAACCCAGGCACCGGTCATAGACCCTTGAAAGTACAACTTCGGTGGTTAAAAATAATATTTCCAAATGTCACTTACCTTCCGTGGCAAAATATTCCAGATGGCATAATGTTTCCTCCATGTATTTGGAGTCTTTTGAAAGTCTCTTAAAAATTACATTGTCCTGTAAAATAAGGGGACACTGTGACTGGCAAACCCATAGGTAAACCCAGTCAGCACTGTAAACACAGCTTTGTTTTCAATGGTGTTTATTTTCTGTGCACTTGAGTATTGAATGGGCAAGTAGAAAAATAGCTCTTAGCTGCTGGATTCAGCCATGAGCCCTGGAGCACAAATTGGGTGTGAATGTGTCAGAATAAAAATGGTAGCAGGGGTGTGAAGTGCTGCAGAGGGAATACGGTCAGTAGTGTCATGACCACGGAAGGTGCCAGTGGGTGCTAGAATTATCAGCGGATCACTTTGTAAATCACACAATTGTCTAACCACTATTCTGTATACCAGAACTAATATAAAATAAAATGCAACTGCAATTGAATGTCAACTGCAATTGAAAACTAAAATTTAAAAAATTAATATGAAAAACAACATGTTGGGGAAGGACCATCAGTGTCAGGAGAATAATCCAGGACACAATGGTGTTACACTCTCCCAAATTTTCATGGTTCATTCCAACGTTTAAAATACCTTTATGCAGAAGTGGGAGGGGTAAAACACAGGTCCTAGTTGCTCAAGTTCACTCTGCTTCTTGGCCCGGCAGAAGCTCCGAACCAGGGAGGACACAGCCCATCAGGCATTGAACTGGTTCGGCTGAGAAACTCGGGGGCGTGAAGCAGCTCACCGCTCTCTGACCATGGCCATGATTGACAAGCAGAGCCACGGGACTGGATGACACAGATGATCCATCAAAAGTGTTTTAAACTGTACAGTTTTAGGACATAATTTTATTTTGAAGAAATCTAATTTGGTTTGGGAGCAGGTTGAAGAGGATTAAATCCTGTAGGAATAAAAGCCACCACTGCAGCATTTCCACAGTCACACTATTTGTAGTTACAGCCTCCTCTGTGTCACCCTCGCTGCCTGTTTGAGTCTGCTGTGGTGTTTAGAACGCAAATAAACAAACAAAAAGTGTAAAAAGCACATCACATGAGAACATAATCTAGGTGTCCTTGATTTCAGTTGTTACTGTAAACACAGAATTCTTTAATAGGTCCAGATAAAATGCCTTTGGTATTCACATGCATTACTTATTTTTTAAAAAGCTCTAGTGGCAGTGTCCTCAAATAAGGTAGAGCTTCTCCCCACAACTGGTGAAGATTAAGATTTTCAACTTCATGTTCTTGATACAGGCTCATAAAATGAGCTTAATAATTCTTTCCCTCAATACACAGGATCATAATTTAACAGGATATAGTTTCACAATCAGGCTTAAACACAATAACATCTTTCCTTAAAGATAATACATTTAGATTTTTTTAATCCTCATCAGAGGATATGTTTTTGTTCATTTTAGAGGTAGGAGGGGAGAGAGAGAAAGTGTGAGAGAGGGAGAGACGTCGACGAGAGAGAGAAACATCAATCATATATATAAACGTATATACACACACCCGATTTTCATATATATAATCATACAGGGTGGGGCAGAAAGTTTATCGTTGTGAGCACACAAAACAGAATTAATAAAGCTGTTGTAATAAGCATAACCTGAGTGTCTTTTTCTATATGAACAATTGTAAACTTACCTACTTTGGCCCCACCCTGTGTACATATAAAGATTATCACAAATTACTTTATCTTCCCAAAGTCACCACAAAATAGTGGTAACACTGGAATCAGGATTCACACTCCCAGAATTTTCCATCACACAGCAAGTTGCTGTTTCTGAAACCAGCTGTTGTCTCTAAGGAAGCTCTTCACTGACCACCTCTGCCACCCTGAGTCACCCCCCATTACCTTCAGGGGGCTTTCACTGCTAAGTTAACGTGATGGCTGACCTGCAAGATTTTGGTCCTGGGCAAACCACCAGGGAGTGACTGGGAGAGCAGTCAGGAAAAGCAGCAGATTAACAAAGCAGCTGCCAGGAACTCCCTGCTATGTAGAATTTAGTACTTACAGCCCCTTTACAATAGAGTCGGAGTTGTCCTGAAGGAGTTCGAACAATTACAGACATTCTTTTTCTGTCACTGTAGGAGTGAAAAAAAGAAAAGGAAAGAAAAGCTCTCATTGGTCTGCTTTAGAGCACCCAGGTACTGTGATTAAACACCAAACAAATTAAAAGGTGTCCCCAAAATGACCAACCTCCATTGATCGCTACTTTTTCCCTCAAAGTTGGACTTTAATTGTATATCTCCTACTCTTTTTATTTACATGTAAGGGACGAAAATCTGTTCCTTTCCCTGCCATAAAAACTCACTAGTATAGCTATTTATAGTAGAAGGCACCACAACAGAGAATTTGAGCACTTCTGCCAATACTCTATAAAACTATTTCTTTTTATTTTGCAGCTCAGAAATATTAAGTACCCTGCCCAGTAAGAATAAAGTGAAGAAGGTTCACTACAAATCCTCCTAACTCAAAAGTTCCTCATTGTGTCTTCTTTTAACAGGAGTAAAAAAAAAATACCAACTCACAGAACACCCCTAACTGAACACTGAGGTGCACTCTCTCACTCCTCCCCCTACTCTACGTGGACACGTCCTCATCCACCTTTCACCCTGACCCACCCTCACTCACTCGCCTTCAGTGGCTCCCCACTCTTCTTTGTTGATCCACAGCCAGCTCTGCAGCCTCCCCTCATCCCCACACTAACCCGTCACAGGACACACCAGGCTTCGAGCTCACCCAGAGACTCACTGTTCTTCTTCCCTAGACCTCCAGCTCCAAGCTTTTGCAGACAACATTTCATCCTCCTGAAACACATCCCACTTACAGAGGGCTCCGACTCCCATCTCTTTGGACTTTCAATAAGGTGACTTCTAATGGACTGTAAGCTCCTAAGACCAGAGGGCACTATCTCTGTAGCTTGGTAGAAATTCCCACATCCTATCCCATAGCACTCTCTCTGATCGGGATTTGATTTCTCTCTCAGCTACCTTGTGGCCAGGTGCTCTGGAGCAAAGTTATTCACCCCACACTTCCATTTCTGTGTAAAGCCAGGTTGCCACCAACTATTTCAAAGACGTGATTAAGTGGCATCTGGAAAAAGATTAGTCAACTAAAATGAAATAGAGCCACAGCTATAACTATAATAGGGTGCTGAGCTAGAGGTCCCCCAAAACAGGGAAACCCCCCCACTAACCTGGCTTAGGGGAAGGAGAAGAGCAGCCCATTGAGAGTTACTTTGCACATCTAAAGAACTTGGCCGGAGTTTTAGTGATGCTAATAGTCTGTGCCCGCCTCTCTGAGCCAGAGAGATGGGGGAAACTCCAAGCCAAGATGCAGCCTGGAGGCAGTCCCCCAGGTGCTACCCCTACAGGAGAAACAGGAAGGCGGTTCCTACATCATGGGGAGAAGCCTGCCTGGACAAACAATGGCTGCTGAGAAAGGCAGAAGAAACCAGAGTACTAGTAGGTGTAAGCCTTTGTGAGAGAAGTCGGAAATGGGGTTACGGAGGAAGATCCACGCGGGGATTTAAACCCAAGTGTGGGGCAGCCATGCTCTCTCTTGACCATGTGGCTGGGGAGCGGAGAAGGATGTCTTGGTCACGTGGTTTGAGAGGACACAGAAGGACCCCCACCAGCCCATCATGAGGAGGGACCCTGCGGTTCTGGGTAAAGAGCGGGAGCCTAGCTGAGCACAGGTTACTGGGAGAAGCCAGGAATGCTGAACTGACACCAGGGGAATGCCAAGCTACAGACTACCGTTTCTTTTCCTGAGAGACGGTACCTCTGACTGGCCTGGTTTGGCAAGGGGAGGCAGGCCTGTGTGATTATGGGTGTTTTTTGTGTATGTGTGTTTGTTTCTGAAGGAAGAGGGATGTAACAGCAGAATTCTGCCATTACTCTGAATCTGCCCAGTTTCTAAACAAACAGTTCCTTTCCTTTCCATAAACTCTGGCATTGGGAGTCACGGTTTTTCAGCAGCAGGCAATGGAACCTAAAGGAATCGAACCCAGAGTGGTTCTGTTTCACAACCATAAATGATTTTCTGCTCCCTCTTATTCTCCCATAAGTTTTTTTTTTATATCTTCATGTCTCCATCCATATTCACCTGTGTTTACCTAACTCCTCTTTCTCCTCTTCAGCCTTCCAGTAACTGCTGGCCCCAGTTAATGCGGCCACACAGCAGCAGTTTCCAGGACGCCAACAAGAGAGGGGACACAAAAAGCCTGGAGAGAGATTTAGTATGTGCCTCGCCTCCACAAACTCGTCCCCTGCGTGAACTACTACTGTTACCAACCATCCCTCTCTCCCACTGAATGCTCAACCCTAAGTCCTCCTGATCCAAAGTTCTATTATGTGGTCCTAAAACTAAAGAGTAGGGCTAGAAAGCATTTCCTTAAAAAAGGGCAAAAAAGTGATCTTTTTCAAACAGCTTATAAAGCAGACAGAGTAAACAGTTTGGGAATGATTTAACAAAGGTCATTGAAAAACCCACCTAATCTTAATGATAAGAAAAGATACTTTGGAGGCAGAAACAGAACTTTGCTCTAGTATGGACAGTTCAATGTTAAGGAGGAGTGAAAAATAAAAAATTAAGGTGTATTTACAACAAATCATGAATAAGCTAGGGAAACAAGCAATCCAACAAGATGTTCCAGGTCTTAAGGTAAATGACAGGGCGAAGACTGAGCCCAAACACACGCAGGAGCACTGCCCTGCGCGCACCAAGCCTGCAGAGGGATGCTTCCCAGATCCCCACGGGAGTGCTGCGGCCGGCCTGGGAAAGCCAGAAGAAGCAATGCCCTCATTCCACACTCTGAACTATGCAGACGTGTCTGCCGTTACTGACAAGAATACCAGGTTCTGGAAATCTAAAGAAAAAGAAGGATGTGGAAGTATAACATTTCATCTGGGAAAAACAATGGAAAGAAAGAAAATATACCTACTTTGCTTTCTCTAATGAAAGTCACAAATTCCAGGGAGAAGAAAGCTTGTAGAAATACATTTACTATGTTTAACACTTAAGTACTATATTTAATCAAACACACTGATCAAGTCATTTTATACATATAAAATATATAAAATATAAATATATATACTTTATATATTTATGTATTATATTATATATTATATATTTTATTTCAAGTGCATGAAATACAAACATACCTAGAAAATTCCAGGACATTAAGGATTCCAAATGTCTGTTCCTGTCCCATCTAAAGAAAGAAAAACAGGCTCTTACCTGAGATGCAAAGTAATAAATTCTCAAAACAACTGTCTCCCCAATACTAAACCTCTCCCCTTCCTTCCCTCTCCCTCCCCCTTCCTCTCATTCACTTTTCATTCCTCTATCTCTCTGCAAAAGCTTTGTCAACTGGTACTTTTTTCCTACAAGTCAGTTTAGTAGGGTCATAGCTCCCCCTTCTGGTAGGAGCTTCTCATTTTTCTCCAGTTCGTTTGGCTGCATAGCCACTTCCAAGACAGGAAAATAAAAGACACAAGCTAGACAGGCTCATCTGAAACCCTGGGGCCAGTTACACTTGCGAATTCAGAATTTAACACATTTTATAGAAATATATGTATACATCATAACATTCCCAGGGTAACGTCCTGTAACACCACACATCAATTTTGTTCAGTAAAACATAACTATTCACACTGAGATTCATAAAGAACATAAGTAGCCTCACGTCAGCTCTGGTTAGGGTTAGTTGCCACGTGCTCATGTCCTAAATTTAGGAAAAAAATTTGGAATTTAAAGCTCCTTGGATTTTAGATTCAGAAATAAGGAATTATGAATTAGCATCAGATTTTAGGGCAATTAATCAGATGTCCTTTGCTTCAGGTTCTTCAAAGTTAGAACTTCAATACTGTCATTTTTTTCCCAGAATATTCCAGATGACCATTTTCAAACTTTTTAATTAAATTTTGTCTCTATTTCCCCAATACATCACAGTGAAAATAATATGGGCTTTGGAGTTCAACAGATTGGAGTTGGAGATCAATTTCTCCATCAAATGTGTGACTTTCTTATAAGTGGTGATAGCACTTGTCCCCTAGCTTGAAGAGGAAAAAAATGAAGTAACATGCAAATTACAAGTACCTGACTGACACAGGGGAGCTCAGCCCATCCCAACTTCATCCGACCCCTGCGCCCATGGTTAGCCCCTGGCACTAGCACTGTGACTGGCGGGAGCCCTCTTTGCACTGCTGTTACACCAACCACTCCCGTGGGTTGCTAAGATGGTCAGTGAGGCCATATCATGTAAATAGCCATTAACCAACTCGAGAATTTGTGGTTTGATAATATCTTGATATTAATGGTTAAATAGGATTTTAAAACTTACTATTACTTATAAATCTTAATCAGGTAGTCACTTTTACTCTCAGAAATATGACCTTAATAGTTTAATAAAATGATCAAGGAGTATCAGTAGGCTTTTCATCAGCATCTAACACAGTGATGACAATGGTGTCATCTGGCTCTCTCGCCCCCCTTATTCACGTCTGGCGGTGTGAGCAGAGCAGGGGCAGCCGTCCTCTCCCTGTCTCCCAGACAGAGCCCGGAGGGTCCACACGCCTCACAATCCCACTGCTACAGGGCAAACACCCACACAACAGAGCATACAACCAAACAAACACCCTGTCCGAAGTCCTAAATAAAAGTCTCCTCAGAAATGAAGGGGAAGAAGACTACATCTATGAAACACTTTTATGAAAAAAACTCTACATTCACTAAGGACCTGGTTTCACTTCAATGGCTTCACACTTCCCTAAACTTAAGTCCTTCTGTTTGTATGAAATAAATAAAATAAAAACAAGAATGAGCTGATATCTGTACTCTGTAGGAAACTGAAAATGTCAAGAAATGGGCACTCTGTATAAGGTATAATATTTTATAGGTTTTGCATATAAACTAAAGAAAAAATGTACTACTGCTAACTCAGGAACATTATCAAGTTATTATATAAGTTATAAGCAAATTTCAAATGCATTAAACAGGTCTAGGGACTTAATGATAAATAATGCCCCAAACCATAATAATCCATGAGTCGTCGCCAAATTGAGGGCAGAGAAAGGCAGAGGAGAGAGAAGGCAGTGACTACCCCCAGGCCCTCATCAACCCAGGCTGCAGTAAAATGCACCTTGCAGGTCCTGACTATCAGCTGCCCCTGCTGCCCGTCTCAATGGTCACTGTGTGATCTTATTCTTGATTTAAATTTGTTCCTATCACCAGATTTCTCCCTCAGGATTCCTGTGAGGGAAACTAAATAAACCCCTTTACTCTAGCAAAAATAAAAACTCATGTATATAAAAAAGATTCTAAGAGCCAATTCTCCTCTCTCCCAGCTAAGGAGACTAAAGCCAGTGGAGCAAGGGCCTTGCTGTGCAAGCACAGCTGGCACCGAGGCAGCAGACAGGAGCTGCAGAAGCTGCCCCCGCAGCAGGTGGGCCCACAGCTGTTTTCCCAAGTAGTACAGAACAAAGAGGAGGCCTCCTAACTTCTTTACTACAGATAATTTCACATCCGGGTTTTGACTTGTGGGGAAGCACTGTTAAAACAGAAAAATTATTGCAATTGCAAAAACAATGTTAATGAGCTAATATAGTCACATAACATCCTCAGTTTTTCAACAGGCCTAGTTTCTCACAGAAAAAAAAATAGACAATTAACTATCATGCTTATAATAGACATGCTATTTCAAACACACAGACTTCCAAAAAGCAAGTGATCTGCAAGGTGGCAAGGTGCCCAGGCATGTCACTCACGGCTTCTATGATGACTGAGTAGGGCGTCCTGGCTGTGAACACGAAGCCCAGCTTTTTAGCTCCTTTAACCAAAGCAGCTTCATCTGTCAATCAAGAGTTAATGAAACATTGACTAAGCACTGGTAATGCCAGAATTCTGCTTAGCAAGTATTATTTTTCAAATTAACAAAACCTACACCAGTTAGTTAAAGAGGCTTGGCCTCCTGTGTACTCGGGGTGCAGAAGGTACCCACTCACTCTTCCTCCCACCAGGGGCTGGATAGAATCACTTCTCTTAGACAGGAAGACTTGGAACTAGAAGGAATTCGTGGGGACAACAGGGATTATATACCTACTACTCTCAATTGGAGTCAAGTTCTCTGAAGAACTGCAGTGTTCCTCCCACGACTTCTCTGAGAGAGGCAGTGTGTTTGCTCAGCACTGTGGGTTCGCAGAGCACCAAGAGTGGGCAGCATTAGTGCTCCAGGACACAGCTTCACCAGCAGTTAGAAAGTCCACGAGGGGTGGGGGGCAGGAAGGAAGCCAACCTCACTCCCTCCTGACAGCTCTGCCTAGCATGTGATTTCTGCTAGGAAATGCATGATGGCCTGGGGCCTCCTCCTGTTCTCTAAGTGTTACTGGAGTCCGTAGAAACCAGCTCTAGCTTTCTATCGTTTTAATCCTTACAGCCTTAGCTTGTAAACTGTCTGAGGCCAGAGGCAAATAGTGGGGTCTCTGTAGGGCAGGCTACACCACCACATCTCCCACAAGGAACTGCAAACATCCAAGTCTCCAGAGAAGGGGACAGCAGAGCACATGGGCCAAGAGGCCTCACCTGGGGAGGAAGCCTGGTAGATGATGTTATCTCCATCCTTCTCGGGAACAACGGTGTGGCACACGGCCAGAAGAGTGAGGAACTCCTGTATGCAAGGAGCTGTGGGCTGAAGCAGGACACTGAGTTAATTCGTCTGTTCTAAAACCACTGACAGACATCAGAATTAGAGTCAGCTCATCTCCTGCCTACCCCCCTGTGCTGGCTTCCTACTCCCTTGAGAACAGAGGTTGGGAGCTGTCATGTGGAATTCCTGCCATTCACCCTCTTGCATTCTCTACCTGCCACTTGGGTCTGCAGGGCTTCCAGCAAGGTTCCTCCTTCCTACTGTTCCACCGCTGCTCCTCACGGGGGTTCAGCCAATTCTTCTACCTACTCATCCTCTGGATTTCAGTTCAATAGTCAGTGTATCAGAGGAGGCTGTCATCACCCCTCTCCTGCAACATTGTTCTTAACGTGCTGGTCCATATAGTAGGTCAGGTGGGAACAGAGAAGAAGCCCATGCCCCCTCCGTGGATGCCCCCTCCATGGATGCCCCCAGCATCTGACCCCACACTTCTGTGACAGCCAGGAGGGTGGGCAGGTTGTCTGCCTTGCTCCGGAATATATGGCCAGGTCGAGCAAACAGAAGGCACTCAAATCTACATCGGATCACTGTGGCAATGACTGACGCAGGACCCACTGAGCCCCTGGGCCCTCTACATCAGGTCTGCTCTCTAACTTCATAGTCTCTTACCACCTGTAATGCAGTGCCCCCTGGTCTATTATGCTTTTTAAGAAACAAAACCAGAATTGTCAGAGATATGTATTCAATACATTTCTTTGTTCTCCCCACCCCACACACAAAATCCTTACATTTTTTCATTGGGATTAGACAATATTTATATAATAATTAGTGGAGAAATGATATCTTAATGCTGCTTACCCATCTAAAAATACTGTATGTATTTCTATTACTAAATGCTTCTAAAGCTTCTAAATATGATCTTGGCGTATTTTATCCATTAATTTATTATTAATTTATTACTATTAATTTTATTTATTTAAAAATCTACTATATGTGAGGCACTACACTATTGCTTTTCATATTATTAAGGAAATTTTTAAATATATTTTATTGATTATGCTATTACAGTTGTCACATTTTCCCCACTTTATTCCCCTCCACCCTGCACACCCTCTCCCACCCACATTCCCCCCCTTTAGTTCATGTCCATGGGCCGTACATATAAGTTCCTTGGCTTCTACATTTCCCATACTATTCTTAACCTCCTCTTGTCTATTTTCTACCTACCATTTATGCTATTTATTCTCTGTACCTTTTTCCCTCTCTTCCCCTCTCACTCCCCCACTGATAACCCTTCATGTGATCTCCATTTCTGGGATTCTGTTCCTGTTCTAGTTGTTTGCTTAGTTTGTCTTTGTTTTTGTTTAGGTTTGGTTGTTAATAACTGTGAGTTTGTTGTCATTTTACTGTTCATATTTATCTTCTTTTTCTTAGATAAGTACCTTTAACATTTCATATAATAAGGGCTTGGTGATGATGAACTCATTTGACTTGACCTTATCTGGGAAGCACTTCATCTACCTTTCCATTCTAAATGATAGCTTTGCTGGATAGAATCATCTTGGATATAAGTCCTTGCCTTTCACAACTTGGAATACTTCTTTCCAGCCCCTTCTTGCCTGGAAGGTTTCTTTGGAGAAATCAGCTGACAGTCGTATGGGCACTCCTTTGTAGGTCACTGTCTCCTTTTCTCTTGCTGCTTTTAAGATTCTCTCCTTATCTGTGCTCTTGGACAATATAATTATGATGTGCCTTGGTGTGTGCTTCCTTGGGTTCAACTTCTTTGGGACTCTCTGAGCTTCCTGGACTTCCTGGAAGTCTATTTCCTTTGCCAGATTGGGGAAGTTCTCCTTCGCTATTTTTTAAAGTAAGTTTTCCATTTCTTGTTCCTCCTCTTCACCCCTATGATTCAGATGTTGGAACATTTAAAGATGTCTGAGAAGTTTCTAAGCTTCTCCTCATTTTTTTGAATTCTTATTTCTTAATTCTATTATGGTTGAATGTTTCTTTCTTCCTTCTGGTCCACATGGCTGATTTGAGTCCTGATTTCCTTCCCATCATGGTTGGTTCCTGTACATTTTCCTTTATTTCACTTAGCATAGCCTTTATTTTTTTTGTCTAATTTGTGACCAAATTCAACCAATTCTGTGAGCATCCTGAACACTGAAACCAGTGTTTTGAATTCTGCATCTGACAGATTGGCTATCTCTTCATCACTTAGTTGTATTTTTTCTAGAGTTTTGATATGTTCTTTCATTTGGGCCCTTTTTTTTTGTCTCGGCACATCTGTTACACAGTAAGAGGGGGAGCCTTAAGTGTTCACCAGGGTGGGGCAACCCACGTCACTGCGTTGTGATGCTGTCTGTGGAGGAGGGGCCTGAGAGGGAACAATGTTGCCTACTCAGCCCTCTGCCAGTTTCCAGTCACTTCCCCTGCTACCCCCACAAGCAAACTGGGCCCTTCTGGTGCTGATTCATGGTGCGTGGGTTTGTGTACATTCTAGGGCCCTGTGGGTCTCTCCAACAAACTCTCCTGTGAGGCTAGGAGTTTCTCCTGCCACCTCAACCCCCACAGGTGTTTTCAGTCAGAGGCTTTGGGGCTTTATTTCCCCATGCTGGGGCCCTGGGTTGTATGGTCTGTCTCACTCCCCAGTTGTTCCTCGCAGTTTGTGTGCATGCAAATATAGGACCACCCAGTCTGCAAGCCACCACCTCTCAGTGTCCACCAGCCTCCACCTCCTTTCACGAGTCCTCTTTGCCCAGCTGCCTGTCTCCGCCCCTCCTACCAGTCTGGATGAATATTTCTCCTTTAACTTCTTGGTTGTTGGACTTCCACACAGTTCAATTTTCTGGCAGTTCTGATTATTTTTTGTTTTTAAATTTGTTGTTGTCCTTCTTTTGGTTGTGTAAGGAGGCACAGTATGTCTACCTAGGCCTCCATCTTGGCCAGAAGTCTATTAATGTAATCCTATTTCCATTGTGTTTTACAAGTTTATTGTTCACATGTAAGTAAAAACATGCAATTTTATAAATGAATTTAATATCCAATAGTAACTAAACTCTTACTTGCTCTCCAAGGTGGTTGACTCTCCTAGGTTTTCAAGGCAGACAATAATATCATCCACAAATAATTACCTTTTCCTTTTCTTTTCCAATATACACATCTGTTTAGAGCTCATCTGTCTGCATAGCCTAGCACTTTCAGAATGGTGTTCAAAAACAGGGGTGACACCAGGTTTCCTTGTCCTGAGGTTATTTTAAAATCACTATCTTTAATTCTTTCATGTGTCATTTTTAAATAGGAAGCTGACTATAAATTTGAGATAGATTTGTATTTTCATATTCAGAGAACAATTTTGTTTGCTATTTTCTATGAAGTTTTCTTCTTCTCCTTCCTCCTCCTCCTCCCCCCTCCTGCTCCTCCTCCTTTCCTCCTCCTCCTCCTTCTCTTCCTCCCCCTCCTCCTTATCCTTCTTCTTCTCCATCTTCCTCTTCCCCTTCCCCTCTCCTGCTCCTCTTCCTCCTTCTTTTTATTTGTTTAGTCACCAACAAATAGTGATGAACACTTTTAACATTTTTAGTTTCCCTCTGACCCGAATATCATTTGAGAGCAATTATACGGAAACAGATCACACTGCTCACCCAGCTACTACTTATCAGCCCTCATAAGGAGAGCGTGAACATTAAATTATAGTTCAATTAAATCTTTCAATTAGAGAATTAACCAATTCCCCAAGGCCTACAGCACAAAAGTAGCTTTTATCCAAAAGCACTTTAATTTCAGAATTTCACTTCAAAATTACCTTCTGCATCAGAGAACTAGCTATCTAGTCCCACATGTCACCTTTCCCATGATGAAACAACACAAAAAGAGTCTTTGATTTAACAGCAAATACATAAACCTACTAGCAAAACATTTCCTGAGCATTATAAAGAAAAGTTGCACACATACTCAAATTAAGTTTCCACCTTGAGTGGAAGGCCAGACAAAATTCTTAAAGATAAAAAAAATCCCCATGACAAAATCAATTTACCTTTAGTTCTCTACTTAAACCGACATTCTATAATAAATTAGGAAAGGGGGATCATCTTCATTTGAAGCCTATAGATAAGGTATTTGTAATATATTTAGACAAGTGCTCCATGTTTGAAAATAAACTTTTTTCACTAACTCCCATGAAGAAGAAAAAGGGTTGATAACTACAAGTAACTGATGTTGGGAAATGTATGCAGGCACATGCACGTATGTGTGTGCATATCGTTCCACAGGTCGAAAGAAACTGTGGGAAACACACATATGATATTTAGCACTGTAGCCATCTCTAAATGGACAGTTCAGTGGCATTGAATGCATCCACACGGCTGTGTATCCATCACCATCACCTATTTCCAAAACATTTTCATCTTCCCAACAAACACTGTCCCTATCAAACAATGACTCCCATTCTCCCTGCTCCCTGACTGCTAGTAATCTCTAGTCTGCTCTGTCTCTCTTCTAGGTACCCCATATAATTATAATCATATAATACCTGTCCTTCAGTGAACAGATTTTAGCCTGCACAAAATGCTCTATTTATCCAGAAATAAGTATGATCAATTTATTTGATGACTGTGAAAAACAGAAGAAAACTATACATGTCTAAAATTGTCTTGAATTCCAATTTGCAGCTATAAAGTATACAAATAATATACATATACAAATAATTTCTTCTTGGAAACCCAAGCCCAAGGCATAAAGATTTAAAATCTGTTGGAAAATTATATCACAAATTGAAAGTCACTGGTTAGCAATATAATTAAGGGAGCATGTGAATTGTTCCTAGAGATGATCCACTAAGAGGCAAATTCCATCCTGGCTATCAGCCCACACAAAGTTTAAAAAACAGTCCTGAGGGACCCAGAAAATCAGAAATGATGACTCACAAAAAACAAATTCTGCAGCAGATGGAAGTACTCCCTTGGGAGGAAAGTAAGGGTTTCTTGGTTCAACTGCTATAATTTTAGTCACTGGTCCCTAGGCAATTTAGATAAGAATGTGGGATGTCCATAGGCTAAAAACTCCTAAAATGCATCTTCCCTCACCTCAACCATATTTTGGCAAAATAACTAAGTGATCTAATGGATTCTACTATACACTTGAAACTAATGCAAAATAATATGGAATACAAATTACAATTAAAAATAATTTTTTAAATGCTTAAAAACATCCATTGGGTACATTCAATGTGATCCCACACCTTTCCAAATAAAAATATTGGAGCATATATTCTTCATCATTATGGTAGAGCTGGATGTTAAAGGTCAAAGGGCTTAATTAATGCAGTAGCCAAGATGAATGCCTCAGAAGCTTTTAAAGATGTTAAATATAGGAAAGTAAGATTTTACTAAAAAGTAGAAGATAAATTCCTCAATTTGAAGTCTAATTAAGCACTTAATGAACTCCAAGTATCCAGATTATTAAAATATCCTTAAAAGTCCCCATGTTTTCATCAATGCTTATGATAATCTCCCTAGGTCAGGGCTTCCTTTCACAAGGGCTGCAGCTGCCCCTATGCTCACGGGCCTTCCCTCTAGAAAGAAAAAGTTGGCTCTGGAGAGTTGAAGGCAAGGGCACAGCAAGAAAGAAAAAAGAAGCTGTTAAGAGTGGGGGTTCCTCCTAAAATGCATGCCATTGACCACGGGACAAGAAATGCTCACTAGAAGACTCTTACCCGTGCTCAGTCTCCGCTCAAACATCAAGAGAGGAGAGGATAAAGAACATGTGATGGATAATCGGAAACCCCTAGAAACTCAGGACACACAAATATGGGTTCAGCTTCAGGGAAAACATCAGTATGTGTACATAAATTAACCGAGCTAAGTAATTCCAAGTCCACTTTCAGGAAGGAATTCCCCACAGTGCACCTACTTCTTTCAAATCCTTGGATTAAAATTATGCTCCCCCCAAGGAAGAGTCTTCTAAAAATGTCATTTTTCTGCGTGCAGAACCTCTAGCCTAGAAGCTGGATACACCTCTAAAATTAAAATCCAAGAAAGGACCACATCAATGACTGTGACCTGGAGCAGGAACTTCAACAGCGTCCTCTCTGCATCTCAGCTAATGGACCAGGACGCCTCACACACTCGCATTTGCAAACCACTGCTGGGAAGGTTTTAGCATTAACAAATGGACACTAACTGCAATAGAACAGAAGAAATTTTCTTGCTGAAAATTCAGAGAAAGTTTTAAATATAGCTGTATCTTATCAAAATTTTGGAAAGATGAAGTTTTAGGTTTGCTCGTGTTTACCTAATTTTAAAACTAAAATTTTATTCAGAAATAAATTAATAATATTAGATCTGATTTATACTGACTAAATTGGTTGTAAAATCCTTTGATCATTGAACAGTTTTCTAAGTAGGTATTTTTGAAAGTATCTTTTAAAAGTAAATAAAATGTATGTGATGCTGCAGTTAATTCTGATTTGTTACAACAGTTGAAATAATGTGATGTCGTAGTTAAGATTTCCAATACTTAAGCTATGAGTCTCATTTCTACATTTGTTTGCTGAGTAACTCTCAGCCAAGTTAATCTTTCTATGCAGCTTTCTATTAACTCTCTGGGGTGACTCGGGTGCTCAAGGAAACACATGTCAAATGTTTGGTACAGAGTAGGATGCTATTACTGCTACAGGTTATCATAGCTTACTTTTGTTTCCTAAATTGTCCTAGTCAAAGGACATTATAATTACTTTTCAAAACACAAGAGCTTGTAGACTCACAACTGTGAAGAAACAGTGCTGTAGAAGACTTATTTACAAAGCAATAGCAATATGAAATGTTAGAGAATACTATAGTAAGGCTGGTCTTAACCTTGATGTGCTACTTTATAACTTCACCACATATTTAATTCAGCTTTACATTAACTTATAAAAAGTGTTAACCACAAAGTACTGCCCATGTACATAGAAGTACACCATAAGCTGTTTAAAGTCCTAGAGGCAAAATGTTGGCCTTACATGTCGATCCTCCATGTTCTTCAAGAGCCTGGGATCATCAAAGTCACATGAATCACTAGGGGGACAAGGCATCCGGCTGTAAAGAGAAAAGAAAACATTTATTCAGTTCAAACTTCCTTAAAGATAATTCAAATCCAGTAAGAATCTGTCTCCAAGAAGAACCACACTTGAACTCTTAAAGATTTGGAATACTATATATTATTTCAAACCTCAAGACAGGAAATAGTTTACCTTACTATATTCTGTAAGTTTTTATAAACAACAACATAGCTACAAGGAGAGGAAACAGAGGCAAGGATCAACACCTGATTTTGTCATTTTAGTTGGTCTCTGTAAAACTTCTACCAGGGAAAACTTGCAAGAGTGCCTGCTCAGTGCAGGAAAAATATGAGGAATTATTGCATTGTGTCTATGCAGCTATTTATGGCCAGGGCTCAGATATGGAAGAAAAAAGGAGGCAAGTAATTATGAGAAGGGAAACTTGATATTACAGCTGTGTCCTACCCCATTGAAGAAAATGTCATGTTGGCCCTGGCTGGCATAGCTCAGTGGATTGAGCACGGGCTGTGAACCAGGAATCGCAGGTTCGATTCCCAGTCAGGGCACATGCCTAGGTTGCAGGCCATGGCCCCCAGCAACCACACATTGATGTTTCTCTCTCTCTCTCTCTCCCTCTCTCTCTCTCTCTCTCTCTCTCTCTCTATCTCTCCCCCATCCCTCTCTAAAAATAAATAAATAAATAAATAAATAAATAAATAAATAAATAAATAAATAAATAAAAGAAAATGTCATGTCTTAATGGCATGCATGTACCTCCACTCCTTCCTGAACCCTTTCTTCAAGACCAAGACGATGGAAGAAGAGAGGACAGCACAGTTGATGTCAATCTGAACTCTGAATAGATATCAGAGTTTAGTGCAGCCAAGGAAACAGAAACCAGTAGCTTGGAAAGAGAAGCACCTAAAATGCCAGCTGATGCCCCCAAATGGGGAAACAGCAGCACAAGGTAGGTAGCTGTGAGATAAAGGGAAGGTGGCAATCAGGACAGGTTCCAAATCCACCTGAGGAAGCGTCAGCCTTCAAGAGCCCTTCCTTGCCCCATGCAGCCAGTCAACTGAATCTTCTGCATCCAGAAAGAAATGGAAGTTTTATCCTTTAGAGAGGTTAAACCAGACCAGCCCTGGACCCAGGAACACTGGCCACACAAGCAAGTCAAGTAGGCCATCCTTCCAAGACAGGAATTTTAAGAGAAATCCTATAACATGACAAGGTCTTTCTAGAAGGTATCCAGCCATGTAATATAAAAAATAGAGACATTTATTGAAGAAGACACTAGATACATTGTACATAGGACAATGACATCTCAATCCCCTTCAAAGTAGGCACCTTGGGACCTCACACAATTCTCCTAGTCGCCAACAATTACCCTGTCATATTTTCCTGAATCTCATCAATGATCTGAAATCTCTTCCCTTTCTAAGGTGATTTTAGTTTTGGGAAAAGCTGGAAGTTACAGGCTCCAAATCTGGGCTTTAGAGGCCCTGAGTCACCTCAGGAACTTGATATTTTGCCAAAAAACTCTGCACAAGATGCATGGTGGGGGTGGGGAGGGGTTGTCATGATGAAGCTGTCAGTCATCAGTTGCCCACAGCTGAATAGTTTCCACAGAGGAGTTTTCAAGCTTTCCGCAAAATTTGATGCAGATTCATTACTCTACTCATTCAGTCATTTTAAATGTGATGGCCACATGGTACACATGCTTACTAATGACATCTACTGCCCCCACTGACTAGTACAGTGAAGTCATCATTGTTCACACATGCACATTCCAGTCCACTCTCCTTGGCTATCAGGTTACATCAGTGGCACACAAATCATTCTCATTATATTAATAATGGCTAGACTTTTTCCAGACAGACCTCACATACTGAAAGGTATGATCACCAACCCTCTGCCTCCACTCAGCTTCCGTAACAATTGCAGCCACATATATAGCCCCTAGCATAAAATGGAAGAGTTCTTCTAATGAGAATACTGAGTAGTTCATAAGAAAGACCCACAGACATGACGCCCAGAGGTTCTCTAATAAATAGTAGGTCCTGGCTAATCATCCCACAGGGAAGCCAGTTAGTCATCCACCACACTGCGCTGCTGCCACACAGAGCCCTACTAATCAGTTTTGTTAGTATATAAATCTTAAAACATGAGCAGATAATATCACTAGTCCTAAGAGAAATATAAATCAATACCATAATGAGATACCACTTGATACCCATTGAGATGGTTATTATTTTTTTTAATTATTTCATTAATTAACAAGTGGTTCAAGGATCTGGAAAAATTGTGCATTCCTGGCAGAAATGTAAAATGGTACAGCTAGTTGAAAACATTTGGTGGTTCCTCAAAAAGCTAAACATAGAATAAACACATGACCTAGCAATCCTACTTTTATACACATACCCCAAAAAATTGAAAGCAGAGACTCACTATGCACCAATATTCATATCAGCATCATTCACAATAGCCAACAGGTGAAATTACCCCAAATGCCCCTCAACAGATAAATGGATAAACAAAATGTACTATATACATGCAAAGAAACATTAGTCAGCCTTTAAAAGGGATGAAATTCTGGTATGTGCTACATAACATCTATACTACATCCTTGAAGACATTACCCTACCTAAGAAGTGGCAAGTAAGTGGGAAGTAATGGACCAAGGGCTCATTACTTTTTGTTAAAGCTTGTAGCATCAATGAATTTTAAAAATCATATTCATGTTTAAATTTTATTCTAGTTCTCTCTTAAAATAACATATATGCAACTTTTAATTACAAAATATTCAGGTGAGACCTGACAATATAAAATTGTTCAATAGCCTTTCCCACTGAAGCATCAAGACATGCTAGAATCTACTTACGAGAAGTCATCTGAGGATGGCTCTCTTGTCAATTCAGGGAAATGACTGCCAGAAAGAAAGGAAGACAAAGTAGTCACAAAACTGTGAACCAATGATAGACATTCACACAAGGAACATTCTCTGAAAGAAATCACACATTAGGCCACAGAACAAGTCAACAAATTTAAGAAGACTGAAATCATATCAAGCATCTTTTTTGACCATAGTGGTATGAAACTAAAAATCATTACAAGAAGAAAATTGTAAAAATCAGAAATATGTGAAGATTAAACAACATACTAGTGAATAACCAATGTCTCAAAATAATAATAATAAAATAAATGCCTTGAGACAAAAGAACATAGAAACATATCAAAACTTATGGTATGAAATGAAAGTAGTTGTAAAAGGGAAGTTTATAGTATAAATGCCCACACATCAAGAAACAAAAAAATCTTAACCTAATTTTACTCATCAAATAACTAGAGAAAAAAACAAATAAAGCCCAATGTTTCTAAAAGGAAAGAAATAACAAAGACCAGAGAAGAAATAAATAGAAGAAACTAAAAAGACAATAGAAAATATCAATAAAACTAAGATCTGGTTCTATAAAAAGAATGGACAAACCTTTTTCTACACTCACCAAGAAAAAAAAAGGAGGTCTCAAAATCAGAAATGAATGAGAAGAGGAGATATTACAATCGACAAAACACAAAGGATCATAAGAGACTACTATGATCAGCTATACCCCAACAAACTGGACAACCTAGAAAAAAAATGGATAGAACAACTTACCAAGACTGAATCATGAAGAAATAGAAAACCTGAGCAGCCCCATTACTGGTAAGGAGACTAAATCAGTAATCAAAAACACCTCCCAACAAACAAATACTACAGACCAGACAGCTTCACTAGTGAATTCTCCAAAACATTCAAAGAAAAATTAATACCAATCACTCTCAAACTCTTCCATAAATATAAAAGGAGGGAATGATTCCAAACTCATGTTATAATGCCAGCATTACCCAGATACTGAAGCCAGAAAAGGACACCACAAGAAAAAGAAAATTATGGCCCATGTCTCTAATGAACATGGATCCTCAACAAAAATCCTTAACAAAATATTCACAAACCAAATTGCAATAACACATTAAAAGGATCATACACCATGATCAAGTAAACTTTATTCCAGGGATGCAAGATGGTTCAAAATCTTCAAATCAATCAATGGGATAAACCACAGTAAAGAATGAAGGATAAAAATCATATGACCAATAAATGCAGAAAAAGCATCTGACAAAATTCAACATTAATTTATGATTAAAAACTCTCAACAAAATGGGCCCAAAGGGAACATACCTCAATACAATGAAGGCCATATGTGATAGGCCCATGTCTATCCTCACACTCAGTGGTAAAAAATGAAAGCATTTTACTTAAGATCAGGAACAAGCCAGGATGCCCACTCTTGCCACTTTTATTCAACATAGTAGTGGAAGTCCTAGCCAGAGCAATTAGGCAAGAAAGAGAAAGAAAAGGCATGCAGATCTGTAAAGAAGTAGTAAAGCTCTATTTGCAGATGATATAATAAATACTGAATAACCTAAAGACTCCACCCAAAACACTGTTAGAACTAATAACCAAATTCAGTAAAGTCGCAGGGTACAAAATCAAATACAAAAGTCTGTTGCATTTCTATACATTAATAATGAACTATCAGAAAGAGATATTAAGTAAACATCACACTGACAATTGTATTCAAAAAAATAAAATACCTAAAAGTAAATTTAACCAAGCTGGTGAAAGACCTGTACACTGAAAACTATAAGATTTTAATGAAGGAAATTGAAGAAGGCACAAATAAATGGAAAGATAGTCCACGCTTATAGATAAAAATAATTTATATTATTAAAATGTACATATTACCTGAGGGAGTCTACAGATTCAATGCAATCCTTATCAAAATATCAAGGGCATTTTCACAGGTATAGAATAAACAAGCCCAATATGTATGGAACCATGGAACCGCAAAAGAACCAAACTGCCAAAGCAATCTTGAGAAAGAAGAACAAAGCTGAAAGCATCATGCTGTCTAATTTCAAACTATATCACAAAGGTATAGTAATCAAAACAGTTTGTTGTTGCCATAAAAGCAAACACAGATCAATGGATCAGAACAGACAGCCCAGAAATACACACACACATATATGGTCAATTAATTTATGACAAAAGAGCCAAAAATAAACACCAGGGAAAGGATAATCTCTTCAATAAATGATGTTGGCAAATTTAAGAGCCACATGCAAAATAACACTGGACCGCTACCCTACACCATACATAAAAATTAACTTACAATGAGTTAAGACCTGAACATAAGACCTGAAACCATAAAACTCCCAGAAAAAAACATAGGTGGTAAGCTCCTCGGCATTGGTCTTCACAATGATTTTTTGGATTTGTCACCAGAAACTTGTAAGTATCCCTTCAAAATATCAGAAAGTCAAGGTATTTTAGTAAGCAAAAAAATAAAATAAAATAAACTTGATTTGTTTGGAAGAATACAAATCAAATTTTCAATAACTGATACACATACTTACCCATAGGTTACTCCAGCAATGCTGCACTTCTTGAAGTTCATGATATTGCATGTAAGAGTTCCAGTTTTGTCAGAAAACAGGTATTTAACCTAAAATCAAAGAATCAGAAAAAAATACATACATCAAGGATGTAATACAATGCAAAAACCAATAAAGTCTTTATTCTATGTTTTTCAAAATCTGTATAAATTTTAAAAGGTAAATTTCCTTCAACCACACAAAATATATTTAGAATTGCATGTATAACATATATAATTGTTATTATATTATAAATAAATAAATATATGTTAATGCTTAGACCAGTTAAAAACCTTTTCAATAACCAATTCTAGAGTCCGATTGTGTGGAAATGTGCAACAAAGATTCAGTCACAGCCTGGAACCATTTTAGATCTACAAGCATTAAGCACCAAGTCCATCCAGAAGGCATCTCAAAGACACATAGCATTCTTCAAGATAGTCCCATGATATCTCTTCTAATGCCCAATGTGTCAAGACAACAAGCTCACACACTGGCAACTTCAAAATATTTTTTAAGACTCTACATTCTGGCTGGATTAAGAAGGCATATCCTGAAAACAGCACGGAACAAACATCACACTTCTGAATCACTTTCACCATTAAGATTACACAAAGGCAGCACGGAACTGCTGTAGATTATATAACTTTCCATATTCAAAGTTTGGCAACTTAATACAATAAACTCTCAATATACAAAGGTAAAAAGAAATTTCTGTAAGAGGCCAACAAGCCAACCACTTTGACATAAGCACATGCAACAGGGACAAGCTCCCAATGCACGTGTGCTGTGAGGCCTGTGTCCTCCCAGGTGCCCCTCAGAAGAGGGGAAGGAGCTCAGGAGGGGATAGTTGGGCCCGGGCTCTGGATACCAACTAGTCATGTGGACCCTGGGAAAGCCACCTCGTCCTTCTTGGCCTCAGTTTCCACATCTATGAAAAAATGCTTTGCCTAGAAGATATATAACATTCTGGGAAATTATATTATGGATTGGTAAGAGGGTAGTGATTAACAGAATTACTTCCAGTAAAAATTCCTGTTTCTCTGTCGTTTTCTAAAGAGGGATCATAACAGTTGTTGGATGCAGATGGACTCCAAGGGCCCCAAAGGAAAGCCACCTTTACTGTTGTATAAAAGAGGGATTAATAACATGAATTATATTCTGTACTTTTTCTTCATTATTTTTAAAGCAATCAGAGGGTATTTCAGAAAGATTTTTTCCCTAAAGAAATATTTTTTCCCTAAAGAAAGGTTTTTTTCCTAAAGAAAGATGATTAACACTCCCAAAAAGTCAAATATTACACAAAAATATAAAGTTAGTACACCATGGGTAATTAATACTTTAACTACAAATAAAGTCTCTATGTAAGTTTTATATGCAGTAAATCTAGAGGTATAAAATGTTCAGCAGAATCAGCCTTCTAATGAAGTGTTTCTGAATTGTTTTTATTTTTATATTTGTTTTATTTTTTTATTCTTCACCCAAGGATATGTTTATCAATCTTCGAGAGAAAGGGGGAGAGAAAGAGAGAAAGAAACATTGATATGAGCAATATTGATTGATTGCCTTCTGTATGCGCTCCAACAGGAGATGAACCTGCAACCTAGGTATGTGCCCTGAGAGGGACTCAACCCCCAACATTTTGTTGTGTAGGATGATGCTCCAACCAAGTCAGCCACCCAGCCAGGGCTTGCCTTGCTGTGAAAAATTAAAAATTTAAATCAAAATATTAAAAAATTTAAAAATTATAAGAAAATTGAAGATTTGCCATCTCTCTGTCTTCTGAATTTTAACTTACCCTTTAAGGTTCAATTCAAAACTATTCTCATGCAATTCCACTTCTGGATGTTTATCTGAAGAAATCCAAAACTAACCTGAAGACACATATGGACCCCAATGTTCATGCAACATTATTTACAATAGCAAAGATATGGAAGCAACCTAAGTGTCCATCAACAGAAATGGAGAAAGAAGATGTGGTACATATATACAAAGAAATATTACTCAGCCATAAAAAAGGAAATTTTGCCATTTGTGACAACATGGATGGACCTAAAAGCTATTATGCTAAGTGAAATTAGACAGAGAAAGACATATACCATATGATTTCATTAATATATTGAATCTAAAAAATAAAATAAAGGAATAAACAAAACAAAAAAACTTATAAATAAAGATAACAAATTGATGGTCACCAGATGGGAGGTTGGTGGGGTGGATGGGTGAAAAGGTGAAGGAATTAAGAAGTACAGATTGACTGTTACAGAAGAGTCACAGGGATGTGAAGTACAGCATGGGGTATCTCATCAGTAATACTGTAATAACTATGCACGACTTGATAGGGTGATGACTTTGTAAATTATATAAATGTCTAATCACTAAGTTGTACACCAAAAACTATTATTAAATGTCAAATGTAACTGAAAAAAATTTTAAATTACTTCCCTATGCAAATGTCCCCATATACCCAGTAAGGATGAGTAATGTCATTCTGGTGCTTCCTGAGCACTTTCAATCCCTCAGCTATTCAGGTCCAGTTCAGCACCCTAAGAACAACGACATCCTGAGCACTGTGCAAAACAACCAAAGACTGTGTCTCGGGTACACCCATACCCCTAACTGGCTTGAAAGAGGTAAACAGATAGTGATATATTTATCATTATAACATCTCTTACTTTTTTGTGTTTGTGTTTGGAAAGACTGTTATGGGAAGATAGAAAGGAGATAAATTAACTTTACCTGGAAAACTGGGAAAGAATTCAAGGAATAGACAAATTTAGTCTGATGTATATAGCACCCACCTCTCAGGGTGGTTGGGAAGTTTAAATAAGATGCTTAAAATGAAATTATAATCCTTAATTGCAGTGTATTCAACAGAGGTTATTCCTTTTGGTAATTTCAACGTAAGAGGAAAACATAATGCAGAGTACAACTCAGTAAAGTAATTGGGGTTCATGGGTGATGGTGAAAAAGACAGTGGTTCCTGAAATATTTCAGAAACAAAATCTGGAACATGTAAGACCTGTGATGAATACATGTCTTTCATATTAGCTCCCATATGTTTTGTGGGGTTAGACAATATCTGAGTATCTTCACCATTGTTTTTCCTACCATTTGCTCCTGACAAACAATTCGAGGAGTCCAAAAAATATTATACTGTATCTTTGTACTAAGTTTTTTGCAGATACCTCCAAAGTGATAAGATATATCCATGTCTCAAAATGCAATCCAAAACTAATTCACATTAATGTTCAATAATGCTCTCAAATACTATACAGCTACTCAGACATTAAAACCACGTTCATAGAGAAGTCTTTTTGGAAAAATCTCTCCATGATTCTTCTAACGCCAGTCTCCCCGCATGTTCATGGCACTGTCACTGAAGTTCCCAGAGAGGCTCTCACCTGGCCGAGCTCTTCATTCAGGTTTGAAGTCCTGGCCATTGCAGGGGTGTCATTTTCAGGATAATACATATCTGTGTCCTGAGAATGAGAAGAAGGGGCACTTCATAAAGTATGTATCATTAAACCTTCATTTAGATTAAAAACAAGTATGTAAGTGCTCATTTTAAATTTGGGGGTGAAAATACAGTGGCAATTAGCATATGGAAACACTGCGATACAAGGAGAAAACGTGGTATTTATTGATATATGCAGAAGATTTGGTTTCAAGATGAGTATTTCATGCCCTAGATGAACTCATGTTCCTGATCTCAGCCAATATATCCCTCACAGGATTATTATGAAGATTAAATAAAAGTGCACATGACCCCTTTACCCTTTTCAAATATCTGGTGACAAAAGTAGACCTGACTGCAGGTGGTGAACACACAATGTAATACACAGATGATGTGCTATAGAATCATATACTTGAAACCTACATAATTTTATTAACCAATGTCATTTTATTACTATGAAAAGTAATAAAAAGTACATGAAGGCACCTAGTCTACATATACAGGATGCTGAAGTCAAGTGCTTAATGACAATGGTAGTTCCTTAAAAGTTCCACATCCACTCTTAACAATGGAATCCACGGTACTGTCACCATGAATTTTGATATACAATAAACACTGATAAAGACACACCTAAGAGGCCTTTCTTCATCACTATTTAGACTTCAAAAGCATCACCAGCAGTTGCAGCTACTTCATCCCTGCTCACTAGAAGACAAGCATCTGTTAAGCATTCTGCCTCCATTTTCTCACTTTATCCTCACAAGAACCCCTTGAATATGTACGACTGTCTCCCCAGCCCCCATTTCATATACCAGGAGGCTGAGATGTTAGGTAACCAGTACCTGCTATCACTGGCGCAGGGGCACCTTTGCCAGAAATCCCTGGCCACTTCTCTGGCCCTTTACCTTCCAGACAAAATCATAAATTAATTATATTATTCCTTTTCTGGGAGCTCAATTAAATGGCTAAGGCTCTGAGAGAGTATTAGAAAATTGTGGTTGACATTTCTGCAGCAGCTCAACTTTTAAACTCTGCTGTGATACTCACCCAGTTTATAAAAAGGGCTTGAGTGTATTTCACAACCTCAAGAGTCACCAGTAAACTGATGGGAATAAGGTTATTGTACAAGATGATGAACGTCAACAAGTTATATCCAAAATTATCCGAGGTCGTGTCTGTGGAAGAAAACCAGAACATCTGTATTGCTTCAGTTAGTCTTCATTGTTTCCTTTTATTTTATTGTTTCAAAATTTTTTCAACAGATGCTCACAAAAAATGTATTGTCTTATGTATACATTTAGAGATTCAAGTTAAAATAGTTATTGAGCTTCTGCTACATGGAACCAACTGTGAATACAAAAACTATTAATACGCAATGCTTTCCAATAAAGAGCTGGCTTCTAATAGGAGATTGTGGGGCAGGAGAGTAGACAGAGGCAAACATGCCCCTCAATGTGGACAGGCATCAGATATATCTGTTAAAGAGATGTTCACAGGGCATTGCAGAAACAGGACAGATTTTTTTAAAGGAAAAGCACGGTCAACTGAAGACCATCCAGAAAAATAGAGACATCAGTCAAGTTTTGGAGGACAGAGAGAAAACAGCTAACTAAAAAGGATGTAAAAAATAGGAAGGCATTTGAAATTGTTGTAAGGAATATCCACAACTCATTAAGGTATAGGTATCTTTGAAACATTCCAAAGAATTGGTAAAATGGAAAAAAAAGTGTGAATAAGGAAAACAGGTGAAAAGAGGGAGGCAGGCAAGGACCCTTGAGTCCATTTATTGAAGATAAGAGAAGGAATGTCTTGTTGAAACAAGGCCTCTAAGAGATGAAGCCCAAAGCAGTGTCAGGATCAGCTTGGAAAGGAGGAGGGTCCAGGAGAGGGATAGGAGGTAACAGTTCTGTGCCTATCAAAAAGGGAAAGTTCTTTGAACTGAGTGAAAACTCCAACAGTGACAGTGCAAATGTGAAGCTTGATGGCGCTTACCTGAGCTATTCAGACTTTATATGAATAATGAAGTAGAAAGCATATGGGTGTGACAAAAAGACCATTCTTCCACTGTACATCCTGCAGCTAGTACTGAAGTTTGACATTATCTGAACAATTCAATACTATTTTCCACAAAACCTCTATACCAAGACAGTGTCAATGTTGTTTATTTACCCAAACCATACTTCATGAACTAACTATGAAAAGAATCTTCACATTTGAAGCTAGATACATAACATGGTTCAACTCCAAATTTTAAAAGCCAAAATCAAGGGATTTGAATCTAAGCTACAACTGAAGTCCTAGTCACATTTCCTACTTTTGTAAAGTGGAAACAAGAGTTTCCTCAGGCAGTTCAAAGTGTATGAGTTCTGTATGAGATAATAAAAGGAAAAAAATGTTTTCATCAGTTGAACTAAAGTGTATTGAAAAACAGAAATAACAGTAAGGTGAAAAGACAATATCCCAAAACTTTAAAATTAAAATTTATTATTCAAAAAAATTTTACCATTAAATTTTGTTTATTTTCTGCAATTGCTGTGTAAGGAGACTGACAAATCTTCTCCAAAAAAATGAAGCAATAAAACTCAACAAAATTGTCCAAACATTTAAAGTGCTTGGAAACTGATGATAGAGTATATAAAGAATTTGAAAGCATGCATTAAAGAAAATTTACTCAATCTTGGTAAGTGGAGGCCTTTGACATTTAATTCAAAGGCAGCTTCTCCTTCTTTCCCCAACATCCAGGTTACTTAAGTTCTGTTCTGGGAGGGTGGTTGGGGCAGGCCTTGAGGACCGGCATCTCTCATCTTCTCCCTCCCTGGCTCATGTCACATAAATCTACCTCAGGGCAGCTGCTACCAAAGAGCCATGGCAGGTGGTCAGGACAGGGACAGCCTGAGGGAGCTGACATTATTTGGAGCACAGCATAAAAAACAATAGAATTTCTAGTGGCTAATAATCAGGGAAGACAAATATCTCACAATATCAGTAGGGATAAACAAAACAGTAGATCAGCCAGAAATGAAGCAGGAAGATCCATGGAAAACATGCCAAAGAAACCTTGCTAAGATCACACTCAACCCTGGTGGTCTAGAAGTTCATGTCCACACACAAGGCTGCATATGCTCAGGAGAAACCAGAGAGGGTACTTGTGAATTAGTAGTCCCTGACTGAAGGTGGGTCAGACTTCAGATTCCCCAAACATTAAAAGGATTCTCCAAGTCACACATAGATCAAAGAACAAAAGGGTTTAAGCACAACCTCTCACCAATCACTGGCTGACCACTAAGGTATGTGGACCCCTAGGAATCCAGGCTTAAAAATAAAAACAAGGAGAGGACTGTCTATTAATGAGGATAGAGTTTCTTTCTGAGGTATCAAAAATGTTGTAAATTTAGGTTGGGGTGAGGGCAGCCCAATTCTGTGAATGTACAGTTGACCCTTGAACAACACGAGTTTGAACTGTGTGGATCCACTTATATGCAGACTTTTTTCAACAAATACCTACACTATTTTACTACACTGTTTTCCATCTGCAGCTGGGAATTGGCAAATACGAAGGATCGACTGTATGTGTTGATCCATGCCATTTTACACAGGGGACTCAGCATCCACAGATTTTGATATCTATGGGGGGTCCTGGAACCAATTCTGGGTGGATATGAGAGCCAACTAAGTTGTAGGGGAATCAAAAATTATACACAGATTTTTTTTACTGTAAGGGGGGTCAGCACCCCTAATTCCTATATTGTTCAAGGGTCGGATGTACTAAAAATAACTATATACCTTAAACTATATCTTTTAGAAGAATTAAAAGGTAAAATAGTGGAAATAAAACTGAACAGTAATATCAGAAGATATACACTGCAGGGTAAAACAACTCTGTAGAATGAATTCAGGCAAGTTATTAAGCAAATAAATAAAAAACAGCAACAACAAGCTCCAGGAGGAAGAGGAAAACAGAAACCAGAGTTTCTGCAATAGAATATCTAAGATACTCAGTTTTCAACAACAACAAAACAGGGAAAAGACAAGAGTAGAAACTGCTTTTGAGGGTAGTAGCTCAAATGATAGACCAAAGGCTTCAAAGCAGTTGTTATAAATATATCAAAGAGCTAACAGAAACTAAAAGAAAGTATGGTGACAATGACTGGTTAATTAGAGAATATAAATAAATAGATGTAAGTTTTAAAAGAATGTAACAAATGGAAATTCTGGAATTGAAAGATAGTTAAATTTTTTTTTAAATCACTACTGGAGCTCAACAGTGGATTTGAGCTGGCAGAAAACAGAGTGATGAACTTGAATACAGATCAATAAAGATTATCCTATCTAAAAAATAAAAAAATAATAAAGTAAAATTAACAGGGCCTCAGAAACCTGTTAGGATACATCAGTAAACTAACATATAAATAATGGAAGTACCAGAAGGAAAGGCAAGTAAGAGTATGGCAGAAACAACAAATAATAGCTGAAAATGTACCAAATTTGATGAAAAATATGACTATACATATCAAAAAAATCTCAACAAATTCCAAAGAGAATAAACTCAAAACTATTGAAAACCAAAGACAATTTTGAAAATGGCAATAGAACAATGACTCCCATACAATAGAAAACACAATAAGATAAGAACTGGCTCCCCAGTACAATGGAGGCCAGAAGACAGTGGGATAGCATATTCAAACTACTGAAAAAACAACACTGTCAACCAAGAATTCTACACAAATTCTATGTCTTTTTTTAATTTAGATGTTGTCTATTTTGTTTTATTTTAATCTTTATTGTATTTTTTCCATTACCATTTATAACTCCCTTCCTCAGCAATCACCACACTGCTGTCCATGCCCATGAGTCCTTTTTCCTTTTTCCTCAATTCCTCTACCTCCTCACCTGCCCACCACTAGCTGTCATCTGCTCTCCATCTATGAGTCTGTCCCCATTTTCCTTGTTAGTTCAGTTTGTTCATTAGATTCCACATATGAGTGAAATCATATGGCACTTGTCTTTCTCTGGCTGGCTTATTTTACTTAATTTAATGTTCTCTAGGTATCAGCAAAACTACCCTCAAAGACAAAAATGAAATTAAGACATTCCAATATAAAAATTGAGAGTATTGGTTGCTACCTAAACTGATTTATGTTAAATGCTAAAGGAAGTTCTCCAAGACAAAAGGGAATCACACAGGTGGTAATTAAATCCACAAAAAGAAATGGGGCAGCAGTACAGGTGGTCACATAGGTACTTAGACAATATGAGGACAGATTTTTATCCTTTCTTTTGGATTTAAAATAAACAATGGCAAAAATTATTATCAAATGATATTATTAGACTTATGTACAGATGTAATATATATGAGAACACAAAGGAGTGAGGAAAGAATGAAGTCACATGAAGCAAAGAAATGAAATAAGCTGGTAACTCAAATCTGCAGGAAGAAATGAAGTAAGTAGGTTAATGTAAAAAAAACTCTATAAGCTCCTTTTATGCCTTTTGTTTCTTTAAAAGGCATGACATTGTATAAATCACTAATTACAAAACTATTCTAGATAGATGCAATATATGATAAAAAGTATCATAAAGCAAGGGACAAGATGGATCTATATTAGAGGAAATTGTCTGTATTGTACCAAAACTAAATTCTTATTAATCTGAAGGAGATACTCACAATTAAGGCATACATTGTAATCCCTAGAGCAACCACTAAGAAAATAACTTTTAAAATAGAATTAAAAATAATCATTTGAATATAAAACAGTCCTCAAATATGTCTATCTTTAATTCATCCCATAACTCCTAATCTTTCAATTCCCCTTGAAAGGCTGGCATCACACAGAGTAGCCAAAGGGCAGTGAAATATGGGATGGCCACCACACATAAACCATGCATGGAAGGATTTTCCAAAAATGTTTTGTCTTACTTCAATAAGCAACCCACCCAGACACTTACCCATCTTCTTGATGTACCAGTTCTTTCCATCCTGAGACCCATTCCAGTACAGGGCCCCTGCTGAGCTCACCAAGGCCATGACCAAAAGGATGCCAAACAACACCAGGATCTGCACATTGGTCACTTTCTCAACATTCGATCTTTTAAGAGGAGCTTTGGTGGAATTCTGTACAAAAGCATTTAAAATCAGTAAGGGTGACACAGACTCAGGGGCAAGGAGTGGGGAGAAAAAAAAGTAAGTTACCTAAATTCAACAAATAAAAATAAAAGGCTATTGTAGCCAAATAACCAGTGAAATTAAAAAGTGTACTATACTCCTGAATCAGCAGCTAGTTTTAAATAAAAATGACTGAAGACACATTCCACCTTGTTAAAAACCACATTTCAACTTTACTGGATTCAACCTATACTTCTTTTCATTACAATTTAGCATAAAATTAGCTACTTGCATTATCTTTGAACACAACAGGTTCCAAATCATTTAAGTCCAGTGTGAAATAAATCAGAATGTTTCTAACTCAAGAAAAACTGAAATATTCTATATCCTAAAAATCTAGAGAGGACCTTCAAAGTAATAATTAGGTCTACAACTAATATACAAAGATAGATTTGAAAGTACACATTTATTGAGAAAAAAGACATATCAACACATACACATCAATAATGCAAAATAGAACATCAATAGGTGTCAAAATAAATGGGTGGACAAATAATTCATTTGGAAAACTGAACAAGGAACAAGCAGGAAAAGTCAGGAAAGCTCTAGTGGCCAGAGGAGATTTGAATGGAGTCCCAAATCATAAACAGAATGCAAACAGGAAGGTAAACAAAAGCAGAAAGACAACCTAACATCTATAAGTGTGCATGGCCGGATCTCTCACCACTGGTGGGGACACCAGTCCAGTGAGAACAGAGGCTAGTGTTGGGAAGTGAGTCTAGAAATACTCATTAAAGCCAAATTCAAGGCCCACTTCACAATAGGTGGGAAACTTGGGACTATATCCTCTCAGCAGTGGAACAGTCAGTAAAACTGTTTGTACTAGACCATTAGGCACTTAAAGTCATTTTATTAAAAGTTTCCCAAAGGTGATTGTGGTGGGCAGAATAATGACTTTCCCCCAATGACAGCTGTATCCCTAATGCCTGGATGCTATGAACATGTTACTTTATATGGTAGAAAGGACTTTGTAGGTGTGATTGAATTAAGATCCTTGACTGGGGAGAGTATATTGTATTATCCAAGTGGACCCAATTTAATGACTAATGACATGGGTCCTTGACCAGGCTGTGTAACTACAGAAGCATGGTCACAGAGATGCAACACTTGGCTTTGAAGACGAAAGAAGGCTGTCCTGAGCCAAGGAATTAGGGCAGCCTTTAGAAAGACTGGAGAAGGCCAGAAAGATTCTTCTCCAGAGCCTTCCTGAGTGTTCTGTAGAAAGGAATGCTGCCCTGCGGACACTTGATAGGAGACTTCCAACCTACAGAACTGTAACATCGCAACTCTGTGTTGTTTACGGGGGAGATGAGCATAGGAGCTTCAGTCTGCAAGCCTCTTACCATGAGTCATGAGCCCGTCTCTTTAGAGGCAACACTGATTTGCAAAGATCAAGTGATTTGAAAGCTTATGGGGCATTAACGAGCCATGAAAATGGTGCCTCGTCGTTACATAAGTCAGCGCTCTGTCCTGTTCTCAAATTATCCGAACATTAACGCAACTATGATGAAAATGTCTCTGACAAGAAGAATGCAAATAAAGTCACAATTTGAAAATAAAATTAAGATGAAAATAGAAGGCAATTCCTCAGTTCCATAGAAAAACTCATGCCACAACATCTCTGAAAGTATCTGAATTCTACCGCCAAGCCCAGCAACGCTACTCTCATGGCCAAGGCTTTCTGTGGAGTGGGAGCCAGGAAATGTCAGACTGGCGATTTTGAAAAGTAAGTCCAGTAACTATCTTAACAGCACAACAGCATCTTCCTTAATATACTCTTTGCTCCCTTTTACTCTAGCTCTCTAAATTATTTGCCCTTGACAGACTTTTTTAAAAATCCTCTAAAATCTAAATGAAAATCCATTAGTAAAAGCTGACCTACCGTCAATCAAATGCCATTTAAAGGTTGACAAGGATGACACATCACCTCTGGCCTCAGGTCAAGAACCAAGAGACCAGTTCCAAGACTGCCCATCCCAGTCTTTCAAAACTAAAGATGACCTTATCATTTTAAGTAAACATTCGTTGGAGGCACATGCAGAAAAAAAAAGTTACAATAAACATCATTTCTGTGATTTTATTCATTTGTGAACTTCTGATCTTTTCCAGCAGTTAAATCCTGGCCAGTTAACAGAGGTGGGAAAAGTTGTCTTTCATGCAACACAAGAGCCCAAAACTTCAGGCTTCAACACATACGCTTAGTGGAAAGCCGAGCTGTCCCTACTCATTCCCACCTGCTGACATGTCGACTTTCGAGGATGAGCTTGTCGTGTGAAATTCTGACTAGCATCATAATTTCTGTAAAATTCTTAGGAAGCGCTGAGTAACAGAGCTCTTAATAGAAACAGGCCAAAATGTCATCTTCTGTAAAAGTTTATATCTGACCTGAATTTTACATATCTCACTTCCTCCTAAGAAAGCAGTCAGAAGAATATGAGTTAGAATGTGGGCTCAGGCACCAGACTGCCAAGTTTTGAAACAAAGCTCTCTCTCTGCCTGGGTGTGTGACTTTGGCAACACGCTTAGACACTCGGATTCTCGATGTCTTCATCTAAAAGATGGAAATAACAGTATCTTCCTCACAGAGTCATTGTGAGGGAGAAATGAGTTAATACAAGCAGACTACTTAGTACATGGGGCACTAAGTATTTGCTGTGATTCCTGTGATAGTATCTCTCCCATTAAATCAACCAACAGAAGCAGTAGACACTGAAATATTTCTACATGTAACTACACTCAACATGAACAAGGGGAATCTGAAGAACGGAAGGCATTGAGGGGAGAGTTTGAAAGACAAAGTAGAAGGGCCCTAAAGCAACTGCATTTCCTCTCTGCAGTCCAGCAGCACAAGCACAGAGGAAACATGTTGTTTCCCAACCGGGATGGCTTCCAGCTATTCGTGTTATATTCTATTCCCCATGAAAGCTCATCATTTTTCTGTTGTTTCAGCTCTGAAGGCACAGAGACTCTAGCACGGACACTTCTGGGGCTTTCCATTATTCTGCACTCAGTCAACATGTCATGGGCCTTGCAAAGAGATTTATCACATCTGGGTGCAAGGAAAGGTGCCCACCACACTCACGGCATGCAGATTCATAAGGTGATTTAGCACACACCTTGCTGACTGAAGAGATGATGGGTTCATTTTAAGTGTAACGACCTCACACGCCTTTGCTTCAAAGCTATATTGCCAATAGATGATCTAGATAAACAGCGACAGCTTGAGAAAACAACCAGTGTATCGGGAATCTTGAAGAATGCCTACATTTGTAACATGCATAGTCTAAAAACTAGACTCGGGGCCTTGCGCAAATTTGAATTCCTTGTGATCTTTTTGTTACTTCATAGAAAAACAGAAGTGACCTGTAATTAGTGGAGCTGCAAAAGTGTCAGACAGTAGATGCTGGCACTGACTCAGAAAGTTAGAAAATACGCAGTAGGTAGCAGAGCACTACTTATCAAGATAGTCTTCACATACAGGAGGCTCAGAACAACCAAACCTAGAACTAGTGAGTGCCTGTGAGTGGGCGAGGACCTAGCAGGGAGGATGGACTGGGCACATGTCAGACATACTGAATAAGAGTCATCCAAGAGCTGCCTCTCAGCATTCACTAACCACTCACTTTTGAGCTGCATGGACCCCTCCACGTCCCGCCCCACACACACACACACTCCCTGCGACCATTCCCCACACCATGCCCTACCATTCCAGGACCAAATTTCCCTACATCTTTGCCCCCTTTCCGAAGCAGTTCTGCCCCTGCCTTACCCAGTGGAGGACACCCTTTCTTGAAGGTCCTGCAAGCAGAGGGTGCTCCAGTGAAGACTCACACCCCTCAGAATCTCAAGAGAACATTACTGAATGTACACGTGGGACCCAATAATACTGCTGACATTTTACTCCTCTAATGCCATGTTAAAAACCCACTTGTAAAATTCATGCCATTCAACAACACTACCTTCTGCCTCTTCCCTCAGCAAGTCCACCCATCCCTTTACTCCTTGAAGACTGGAGCAATTGACTTACAGCATCCATCTCTACCCCAGTTTTGCCACAATGCGATCTTCAAAGTCACAGCACTGACCCATTAAATGGTGTAGTCTCTCAGTTCTTTACTCCTCAACATCAAATGCCCTCCAACAGCTCTACCTTTAGCCTCCTACTCCCGTGGTTCACTCCCAGCCTTACCCATTCTACACACCCTCCACCCTAGAAACTCAAAGACAAGCACCCTACACACTGATCAGCTGTCACTCAGCAACTCTAACAATCTTCTTCAACTTCAGTGAGTCTCTCAACCCTTCTAATCCTCCCCATTTCCTGCCTCTGTCTCAGCTCCATTACCCAGCTGGTGTGGACACTGGGGTCTATCGCTTCCTCTGTTCTAACAAGTATTTAACTCATTTGACCTCTAAGAGTGGACCAACACAATAGCCTCCTTCTCCAACTCTACACCTCAAATGTGCTTCTTAGTATCATTCTTAGTAGCTAGTCAACTGACACCCCCAAACCTGGGTTGGTTGACCCTTCTGTATACACCAGACCACTCTGTAATGATACCATTACAACAATGATCTCTCCACTTCCTAACTCCCTGCTACTCCTAAGTGCATGTGGTTACCCGGGGTAAGGCTGGGCCTTTCACTATTGTATCCATTCAGCTTGGCACAAGACACAGTGCACAGTGGTCACTGGACATTTTTAAGTTAATAATATAGTTAAATATGTGCTGTAGAAATGATACAAAAAAGGCAGACAAGATAAAAAGCCAATCCTCATTAATAGCTACCATTAGTAAAATAAGATAGCTAAGAGATACCAATGAAATATAAGAAGTGACACACAGGGACACTAATTGATGTTGAATTTCAATGCAGTCTAGCAAAATGTGTCCAAATATATTTGTGGTCTGCAATTCACAACTAATAATATTAAAAATATTAACAGGGAGAAGGAGCAACATCATTTTCATTAATTTTTGGGTATATAAAGAATAAACATTAGTTCAACGTAACTGACTTTAAATTGTCTAAAATTCAGTTAACTAAGACAATTCACTGTAAAATCCTAATTAATGGAATGAGGAGCATAAGCAGTGAGAGAAATAAAGAAGGAAGAAGTCATCGCTGAAGCCCAGCAAATAAAATGTGTAGGAACTGATTGTCCCCCTAAATATGGAAAGCAAGACCATTGATATTTCAAGCAGGAGGTAACATCTGACATAATAACAGAAATCTATGAGAAACTATCTAAAGAACCAAAATAAAGGCACTTCCTTCCCAAAAATAGGTTCATAGACAAACTCAAGCTTCCTAAATGCAACATCGACAGTTCTACACTCTATGCCATAAAAACAGAACAAAATTTTTAAAGACTAAAATCAGCATTGTTTTTCAGCATAGAAATGTTTTACCTGCATGAGTTTGGTGTCGTGTCCAGTGTAAACAACTATGCCAAAGACCCACTGAGTATTTCTAAGCTGTGTACCTCTTAATAAGATCTGGTCAGGCCCAAGGGCAACAGGGCTAAAAACAAGAAATAATATTTATATTCAATGATAGTCTGACAAATGAGCATGAGCTTTCCCCTTAAACATAAACCCACATAATCAAATGTTTCCTTTACTCAAATTTGAATTATTTCACTGAGGAACAGGGTCAAGGAAGGTTATCATTAACTTAATCTCAAAAAAAAGGGACCCACCAGAAAGGTTTCTCTTATCCATTCATCACTACAAAAAAATTTTTTTGTTTTCCTATAAAATGTTAGAGGAATTTGTGTCTCTTATGATCCAATTATAAAACCAAAGAAAGAAATTGCTCAAATAATCAGATGTTTATTCATTTAGGAAACCCAGTTTATTTTAGAGTTCATTATAAGAAAAAATAGCAATAAAGCTATAATATCAGATTTGTCAAGAATGACAGTGACCAAATAAAAGGCTGAGTGATAATTTAGAAACTTGAAATGGGAACCGGTGGAATGGCTCTGCACACGAACTGAGACATGAGGAGAGAGCAGTCACGTGTAGTTGTCATGGTCATTGTGGGTTGGTTCCCATCATCAGGTCCCTCTCTGTGGGTCTGTTCAAAAACTACAGTGGAGAGCATTGATCAGCATGCGGATTACAGATAAGCAGAGGTCAAAACTGCACCCCAACGTAATGACAAAAATGACTCTCCAACAATAAAACAATGCCAAGAGACAAAGACGACAGAATATAGACAACAGGGCAGTGGATATTTCCAAGGAAGACTGATTGTTGTTCCTTTCATTTAACTTTCTAAAAACAAACCCTACTTAAGGGCCTCTCTAATGACACCATTAGCTCTTATACACCTCAGAAACCTCCCTTCCGCCTCTCTGGATAACAGCGTGCAGTCAAAGCCATCTCTCCTTTCTGGCAGGTAATACACACAGAAAGAACAGGACAGTGCTGTGAGGCTCACTTCAGACCCTCTGGCTGTTCTTCCTTAACAAAAATCAGTTCTTTCTTTAAATTTCAGGGATGGTTTAAATTGATTGAAACAGTGGTTCCTAAAAAGCTTACATCTAAGCTAAACATGACAAAATCTCACTCTTTTTGAAATATGAAACCAGAAGACAAACTAATATTTTCTAAAGCTCCAGTAATGCTGAGTCCCATTTAAAAAATAAAAAACACTAAGAAACAGGAAAGTGATACCTCTTCCCATCTAAGTTCAAGTTTCCAGTGAAGTCATAGAGGTGGCGGTTGGGCCCTTCACATTCCACAGTTCCAGACAACTTCATCAATACCTCCCTCGTTTGCATATCGGCCGTGTGACTCAAACCCTAAAATGGTAAATCAAAAGGAGAAATTTATTACAATCTTCCACGTTGAGGGACAACATTCCACATCCCCACTGTTAATCTAAATGATGAATCCTCTAAAATGAAACAGGAAATAACTTGGGAAGGCTAAGGGATCAAACTATCAACCCGCAAGAACAACGTTAGGGCAGCTTTGTTCACAGGCAGCAACCTAATGCAAAAGTTTCAAATGAATTCAATGAAGCAGAAAGTTAAGATTCCACCATTGTGCTGGAAACACCCATGTTTAATAACAATTCACGCACTCAAACACCTTACGGAAAAGCATCTTCATTAGCCATATTCTAACACTGGTGATAAATATAAAGTACCCCTTTAACACAGTGTGATATCTAGCACGCAGTAACTCTTCCTTAAACAGAAAAAAAATGTCTAAATCAAATATTTGAGGTAGAAAAGAAAGATATGTGAACATAATTATCAAACTCGACTTTATGCAGTATACAATTTAAGTGGCAAATTCTTCAGATGTTTACTACATTAAAGACTATTCTTCATTCTAGAATTTTAAAATATGGTAAGAATAGATTTATTTAGAGGATGGAAATTTTGTATCTATTATACCATTCTCTAGAATTAGAATCTCAGTTAAAACAATGGAAAGGGAGGTACCCATTGTCTGTCTAACTTTATCTCTCCCTGTAGGTGCTGCACTTTCCACCATGCAGCTCAGCCCCCAGAGCCTCTCTCCACAGGCACCAACAGGCAGAGTGCACAGTGAGACCTAAGTTAAGGCATGACCCGCTTCCTGACCCATTCTTTCTTGGATGAAACCCACTTGTGTAGGTCCTCCATCACTCTTAAGCAGTTCCCCTCATAATAGAAGACACGTTCTCCCCATAGCTTCCATTAGGGTTAAGGCATAGCCCTCTGTGCAGAAACGTTTTTTCCTCCTGATAAAGCACTGACTGGTACATGTGGGGACCAGGTTTGGGCCTCCTTGACAATACAAGTCACAAAAAATAACTTTACCTGGCGTATTTTAAGGTTCGTCTCCCCGTCTAGATTAGCTGTTTCAACATAACACATTGCCTGAGGTTCACTAAGGAGAAAAGGGGGAAAAACTAAGTTTAGTAAGGTCCCTCCACAAACACGCAGCTCATAAAGACTCTACTAAGGAAACTATTTCTGCAGACCAGCCCTTCAAAATAGTGCTACAGTTGACCCTCGAATGACCCAAGGAGTTAGGGGCGCCTACACCAACCCCCACTGAGTAGTCAAAAATCCAAGCTTAACTTTTAAGTCCCCGCAAATTTAACTGCCCCCAGTTGTCCCTCAGTATCCATAGGCAGTTGGCTCCCGGACCTCCCATACCAACTCTGCATCCTCCCAACCACGGACAGAAAATGGTATTTACTGAAAAAGACCCACATGTATGTGGGCACATATACTTCAAACCTGTGTAATTCAAGGGCCATCTGCATAAAGGATGACTTTAGTAGCAGTAACTGGTAGAAAGACAAACACTCGTGTTTGGGGCTCAACACCAATACAAATGATCTGCCCTGATGGGCCCCACATAATAGCTGCTTGACCTTGAGTAACAGAATAACTGAGGGTAAACGAGAAGGGGAGGGACAGGTGAGGGCAAACACATGATGTCCTAGCCAACGGGTATAGGAGACCCCTAAAGCCTGAGCCCTGGCCCACTCCTCCTGACCGAAAGAGCCTCCCCAGGCAGCACAAACCTGTCTTCTGAAGAGTTACAGCCATGGGGGATCAGGAATCAAGGCACAGGCTTGGCAAGCCTCTGCGGCCCTGCTCCTTGTGCTCTGTCTAAGGGCAAATTTTCCATCAGAACACCTGATTTTAAGGGCAGAAAACTCAAAAACTAAAATCAAGCAGAGCAGATACTACTACCTGCAGTCTTTGGGTTTAGGCAGCATTGTCAGTGGCTAAGAGAAGGGGCTGCGCCACCCACCAGCTAAGTTAAGATCTGGCGCTACCTCTACTGGCTACGTGGCTTCAGCAAGTTGTTCAGTGTCTCTGCTTCTCTGCTTTCTCCGTGTAAAGTAAGGACACCCAGGGTTGTTGGGAAGATTCATGGAACAGAGTAGTCAGCAGGCTGCTTGACAACAGAGTGCAGACAGATGACCACCCTGAAGGCCAGATGTGAGTCTCATATTGCAACCAGGTTTTCTGAGGGCCACAGCCAGAAGTCTGACCCCAAACCAGCCAGTGGTCCACATTTTACTAAGATTTTCTTCGTAATGGAACATGAATGCTGCCCCACATAGACAGTGCTTTAACCACTACCTTGAGTAGTGGGTAAAAATAACCACTGAGATATCTTAAGATAAAAATTACCTTAAGAGAAAATTCATGTTAAGGCTTAAAATCTCATGTGTGATCAAATCCAATAAAAGAAACATTGTCTTCCACCCAAAGAATATGCATAGAATGTGAGCATCTACGATTCCCAACAGGAATACAGGAAGTTTTAGTCTTGACCTCATGTCATTTAATCTTGAACTCAAGAGTATCCTTACTCTAATTTTGTCACCCATTCTTTAATATATAATCTTGTGTATCAAGCCAAAGAAAAGTCAAGGACTGCATTGTGTACTTAAGCCACTTAGTGATGATACCTTTCTGGTAAAAACTACCCAGAAAATGTGGCAATAATCCTTGGGCAGAAAGGGAGCAAAACGTGGATGAATGAAGAGGAATCACCATCTGCAGGTCATGGCTATGCTAAGAAAATGCCTGCAGTTCTCTCAACAGCTAGTAAAGGGTTCTGCAGGAGAGACTGTTGGCAGGACCCCTTCGGACACTGGATGTGAAGTCTCAGACATGCTGCCACCTGGAGGTTACTGGAGTAATCACTCCACTGCTCTTGAATGTTTTTGCATGTTTCCTATAATAAGGAATAGCCCAAAATAGCCATGAGACTAAAATGAATAGATACATGTGAAAAAGCTCCCCCCAAAAGGACAAAGGAATAAGTAGGAGAAAGAAAATTTAAGATTAAGGCAGGAAAGAGCAAGTGATAGGTAATGGAAGAACAGGCCAGAGAGAGAATGCTAGTGATTCAGGGTGGAAGGGAAAGGGTGGCTCAAGATGTCAGCAGTCACCATTTAAAATTTTATTGTTTCTTAACATTATTTCAAAAACTGTGCCCACTCTAGCACACCTGACCTGGAGGATAGCAGGACCATGTCTGCTGGGAGATACTGCCCATTGACGACCTTCACAATGTCTCCCACTGTTACCTAGAAAACCAGGGGCAAGGACAGAGAAGCGTGAAAAAAAAGAAAGCACAAATGGTGATAAATGTGGTTAAGTATTTGATGAAAAATTACTATAGTACTATGTCATGAAGTTTAAGGTAGAGAGGCCCAAATTATTTTCCTTGATAAGAACAAAAGTATAATCTTTCAGTACAGATGAATGTACTATTACCTCTTTGCAATGACACTGAATGAAATGAAAAAAAAAAAAAAAGAAAAGAAAGGGGAGGGGGAGAAAGATGAGTCAGAACTATCAAGGTTGCTTTTTCTTATAATCATTCATCCACTTACAAATTCCACAGCTTGACATATGGGACAGTGCCGCAGCGGTATGCAGCTGGGTGGACTGGTTAAGTGCACAGCTCTGAATTCAAATCCCCCAGTCCTGTCCCAGCTCCTTAGGAGGTATGAGTGACCTTGAACTAGTCCCATTGTAACAGGGTACAGCCAGGCAGGGGGGGTCCCAAACTGGGATTTGTTAATGGGGTCCAGAACTCAGTGTCCAGGAAATATTACAAAAATATATATATAAGCAGTCCTCATCCCCACAAGTCTGAGCTGGGGGATGGGACACATGGAGCAGGGCCATTCAGAGTTGTTTTGAATAGCTACAGTTTTGCAGATAACCTCTAGAATGGTTATTTAACATATCTATAACCTTTAACTGGTTTCATGGATATGTTAAATAGCTGTGGCTGTGCTTTGAGTCAGGGGTATGGCAGTGACTTCAACCCATGATATAACTGGGAGGCAACTCCCCCTGGTTACAGAGCCTGTGTAAGAGCTTGGAGATGATTGGCTCCACACCACAGGGCCACACCTGCCTGGACTTACTATGGCAGCCCAGAAAAGCTGGAAGAATACAAGAATGCTGGCAGCTGTGGCCAATTGTGGGAGGAGTCAGAAATGGTGCGGCAGAAGAAGATTGGCGCTGGGATTTAAACCCAGGTGCGGCAGCCAAGCGGAGTCTTTTTGGAACCGAGTGGCTTGGGCAGAGAAGAACCAAGGACTTCTATTTCTTTTTCTGAGAGACAGAACCCTGGACTGGGCAGAGGGGGAAGGAAGAACTGTGCATTTTGTGGATGTTCTAAAGGACTTTGGGATCTCAATGAAGACATTAAGTTATTACTCTTAAGTTTGCATAACTCTTTAAACAAATAATCCCTTTCCTTTTAACCAATCTCTGGCATTGAGAGATTTCTTTCCCTGGCAGTGGGCAAGGTGAACCTAGTACAGGGTGGGGGACCTCCGAAGCATAAGGGTGGGGCCATTCGGTAATAGTGTATCGCTCACCGCCCTCCCCAGTTCGGTTCTGTAACACCATAAAGTCCTTGTGTCTCAGTTTTTCTCATCTATCTGATGAAACCAACAGAACTCATTTCATGGGATTACATTGAGTTAAAACATGTAAATTGCCCCATTTTACAAATGGGAAAACTGAGGCTCAACGTGAAATAATTTAATCAAGATTACACAACCCAGATTTAAAACTGAGCAATCTGACTAGTGGTCTGATGAGAACAGTCCACCTAAAAGGTCCCCCAGAAATACACCACATAAAACAGAGAAGATTCATATAGCCTCAAGAAATTGCCAGAAAAAATAATCATAGCCTAAGTCAGAGACCACCATGAGAAACACTCCACTGGACAGAAGACCCCAAGCCAAGGAAACAGGTGTCTGAAGAAAATTAGCACCATGGCCAAGCGGCTATAAGTCCTTTAAGTAAGGTCATGTAAGCACCTGGCCGAATGGAATGCAGGCTTTCACGCCAGGCGGGCCTGGGCTCACTTCCAGCTTCACAAGGAACTCAGCTCTGGGATCTCGACAAGCTCTTCGCCTCTCTGAACTCCCACGTCCTCACTCATAAAATAGGGACAAGCCACCACTGACTTTCTGGGGCTGACGCAGTGATTAAGGAAGTAAACACACACACCTAGCGTGACATGGGCACATGTTAAATGTTAGTCTCCACCGGTGGGAGTGTTCAGTGAATGGGCTCTAGAGAGAGTGTGAAGGTACAGGGTGGCAGATTCTCTGACAGCATAAGGAGGGCTGTTCCCAGTACACTAGCAATTCAAAACGCAAAGTGGGCAGTATCTTTTCTGTTTCTTATTCTAACCCATGTTACTATTCTCTTAGAAATCAAGAATTTCACATAACATGATATTTGTAAAACACCCTGGATTTTGCAACCTGGGAGAATGACCCGAGCCATTTAATTTTCAATAAAAAAAGGAAGGCTTACTAAAGGTTGTCCTACGAGTGCTGTGAATCGCTTATCAAAGTGTGTGGGAAGTCGAAGGAATCAGGCTCAACACAGGGAAGGGTGGTCAAAGTTAAATTCCAGAGCCACTGTACATCTGAAGTTAGTACTGGCTTTTAAGGCAAAAAGAAGACATATAGTTAAAGTATCTTCCATAGCGAAGAGAAGTCAAAGAATAAATGCTACAGAGCTATTTTAAAAGAATCAGTACAAAAGCAAGAAATTCCTATGAAAATTGAAAATGCTTTTTAAGTATAAAAATATTTTATGTGAATGGTTTAATTACATAGAACAAAATCAGAAGAAGCAATTAGTTTTAAAAACTAGAAAGGAAAATTATCCATGTTTTCGAAAGAAAAGAAAAGCAGTAGATTTTTTTTTAATTCAAAATGGGAGGACAAGGGAAATTAGGACTTTCTCCCATCTTTATTATTGAAATAAAGAAACAATTATTCCTCAGTAACAAAGTACTAAGAAGTTGCATGTACATGAGAAACTATTTGGAATTTTGTTTGAAAATGGCTATCTGCTGTTCTTATGCCTAGTTGTCCCTTCAGTGGGTGAAACTATCTAGAGCAAGAAATTTTAAGGTGAAAAGACCACCCTCCCAGATCCTTGCATTCACTCCAGCCTCAGAGGATTTCTCAAGTCTCTAAATTTTGAAGAATAAGCCCAAAAGTCTTCTCAGAGTCAACCAAAGTTGTCAAGGTTCACCGCAGAGCTGCCGCTCAGCACTTACCAACAGTTCAGCTACATCCTGGGGGTCGCTGACTTGTGTGTTGGCAGTTCAGATTAGTGGTTGTCGCTTTGGGAAGCTGGAAGCCAGTGTATTCCACCGTGCCTGCCATCTCTGGCACTTGTCACCACTGCCCTCTTGTCACCTGTCCTTTCCCACATTCTCATCCTATTCTGAGCAGTTCTGCAGATGTGCCTGGCTTTCCCAGGCATCTTGGAGTTCCACCCAGTTTCCTCTGTCTTAAACTGGTTGCCTCCTGTTCATCCTTCCAGAGGACACTAGAGCATCTCAAAATGGGAGCCTTTCCTGACCTGCCCAGATGTCCCCAGAGTTCCTGAAGCACCCCCCACCCAGAGTTCAGGGCCTGCACTGCACACTGTTTAGCTGCCTATCTCTTCCACCACACTGCTGCTTGTCCCCTGTGGTCTCCAGACCAGCAGCATCAGCCTCACCTAGGGACTTCTTAAAAATGCAGATTCTACAGCCCTCCCTGGAACGACCGAATCGGTGCTTCCAGGAGTGAGGCCCAGCCCTCGTGCTGTGCCAGCCCTCCAGGTGCCTAGGATGCCCGCTGAAGTCTGACAGTCGCCAGAAAAACAGCTCCTGAAGAGCAGGGCCAAGCTACTTATTTGTGTCCCCAATGCGTAACACAGTCTGGTACACACCTAAAGCTCCATTAAAACAAACTAACAATACATTTTTTCATTGAAATAAAATATGTAGCGAATCATATTAACAACTTGTTTTTCCTCCAAATGTGTATGAGTTCGAGAGACCGTCAGCCCCTGGGCCCAGAATTCACAGATCATCACTCCCCTTTTTGCTGTTTCAAGCTGTGTCATCATCCCAAATCCACGCTGTTCTCTGCTCCAGCCAGCATCAGTGCCTTTCGGGGGAGGAGGCTGGCAGCAGGAACCTTAGAGAAACAGGCCATTCCGAAACACCGTGAGAGTCCTTGCATTCTACAGCATTTCTACCCTCTGTGAGGTCAAGTCTCCAACCCCTTGACAAAGAACCATCCCACTTCCAAGTGAGAGTGAGGTCAATTAATACTGGTAGTACAGGACTTCTGGGTTGCTACTAAAGTTGAGGTGTTATCACAAAACACTACAAAGTGACTCCTATAACAATGTAAAAACGAAACAAAAACTAAAATGAAGACTATAGTTACCATATCACTGGCATTTTGCAGATTCAAAGATCATAGCAGCAATTTTAAACATTGCTTACTAAACATTTAGTAAGAGAAATTATTCTAAGTTACACTTCTAAAGAGTAATTTTCTTTTGAAATCATGTAAACTGGCTTTGAACAGCGGGGAAATGAGAGTCATCCCCCAAAACCATCTGTGACTTTTAAGAAGGTCCAGCTAAAACAGAGACTCACTTAAAAAGCTAATTTTATCAGATCTGAGAAATGCAGATGGCACAGAATATTTCTTCTAAATTATCTATTCATCAATATAAGCAACCAAAAAAAACACACACAATTCCCAAATGCTGCAGACTTCATGCCTCCGGGAAGTGGAGGCCAGCCCTTCTGGATGCTGCAGAGTTACAGGCAGCAACCACCGGTTACCCCCAGTCCGCCCTGCCTCAGAATCAAAGTGGGATGGTTTCCAACCCCTACATCCCACACCTTACTGAATCCAAAAAGTTAAAAAAACTTTAAAAATTGAATTGAGGTAAAGAGAATAGAAGACCAGGGAAAGTGTTTCTTTTTATCTTTCTTATCCTCACCCAAGGACATACTTATTGATTTTAGAGAAAGGGGAAAGGGAGGAAGAAAGGGAGAGAGAAACATCGATGAGAGAGAGAAACATTGATTGGTTGCCTCTCGTACAAACCCTGAGTGGGAACTCAACCCGCAACCTAGGCATGTGCCCTAGTTGAACCCGCAACCTTCCAGTTTACAGGACAACACTCCAACCAACTAAACCACACCGGCCAGGACAAAATGTTTCTTAAATTGAATTTAGAAACTAGAAAATGCTTCGAGATTTCAGAAATATCCATCAGGGACAGTGAATTTCACAACTCTATTGACACAGTGAGCGTGGTCTAGAAGGTCCAGGGAATGAAAACATGCATCAGTTCTAAGTAAACCTCATGGGAAAACTCCACAACATAAAACTTACATTAAATAGGAATGACCTGTGTCTTAACATAAACTTTATACTGTAATCAGTACCAGCAATTAATTGCAAGTCATCAATACTTTCTGGTATATCTTTAAAAATAGTTTTTACCTCTTTCCACATAATGGTATGCCACATACCATTTCTTAACACTGAAAAAGAAAAAAAAATTGTACCGATTAATACTGAAGATAATCAAAATAAGCTTTCCCAAAACCAAAAGGCCCCTTCCAAAATTTCACTTTTAATTCCAGCACATTCAAACACACCATGTCCTCAGGCACACAGGAGTGACACCACCACTGCCTACAACAGAACCCCAGTCTACATGCCAATGTGCCGTGTGTGCTTTCACGCATGTGCACACATACAGATGTATGTGTATAAGTTAGATCTATTCATGTTTAGCCCATAAGAAGAAAAATTACCCTGCTGTCACAATATTTACCAAAAACAAAACAAACACCCCACACGAACATAGCTAATGTTCTAGAAACCAATACAGGAAAAGCTAGACAGAGAGAGGGAGGGAGCAATTACAAACCAAGGATATGAATGCTAGGACTTTTTTTGATATAAAATACATGTAGGTCCTGAAAATTATAACCTTTTCTAAAATTCTACAATACACCAGTCCTATTCAAATCTTCATTGCCAGGACTCACATTTTATTGCATTTGTTTATCATTTTGCTGTTTCTTTAAGGTATTTATAGATCATGTCCCCAACTGATCTCAACACCATTAACTACTTGTTTAAAATTCCTTAAACACAGGTCTTGTTCTCAGGTTTTCTAGTGGAAAAAGTGACCAGCCTGGTATCTTACCTATGGTTTTCTTTTTGTTAACTGCATTGTCTGCCTTATGTCGCTTCTGTTACAGAAAGAAAAAAAGTTCTTAGATTCAAAAGTTCCAAATGAATAATTGAAACTGCAGACAGTAGGGATCAATGGGAGTGGTGGGGCTGGAGGGGGAGTGGGCAGGAAACCAATTCCCTGCCACACTAACACTCTCCAATTCAGTTCAGTGGTCTGCAACCAGCACAGCTCACTACTTTAGTGGACAAGTGCAGCAACGGTAAGACGTGTCATCTGCTCTGGTTCAAATTACTGTATACAGGTTCTAACAACGAACAAACACCTTGAAGTATGAAACTTCTCACTCCTCTTTTGTTTTACATCAGACTGAAGGAATGACTCAGTATGGTAAACACAACAACAACAATTGAATTCACTTTATTGATAAAAATAATTTCCGGGGCAAAGTACCTTTGCTTTGATTTATTTTACATTTATTCATTTACCTATTCCCAGAAAAAAAATGCACATATGATAAGTGCTAGATACTGCAAGTATGGGGGGTGAGTGGGGGAGAAAGAGCCCAGACTTAGAAAAGAGGATGGAGTGCGAATATGGTCGTAGCCAATGAACTAGGAGACACACTGAAATCAGTACGAGGAGGGAGAAGATTCTTGTAAAATTACCTCAGGCACAGCCAGCACAATGCTGGCATGCTGGACAGCAATACAGTCCTTCATTTGCCACCAAATCAGCAAACTCTACAGGAGAACATCAGTGATAAAAACCAAAGGGGGTCCAGGAACTCGCATTGGAAAGCACAGTCTGAACTACTTCTGTGTCTTTGTAGGGTATTAAGGACACTGCATGTACATGTCCCCTCCCCGCCCCCCAAAAAACACCATCATGAACTTTGAGAGGCTAGTTTAAGTTATAGACCAATGTCCTTTCTTAAACAGAAAGCACAAAGCAACAAATGAGTTATGTTATATCCAATAAAAGGTTTTATTATCTGAAAGCAAAAACTTACAAAATCTTCTACAATCTCTTTGATGCCTGCAATTGTTAAAATAATGATCAACGGCACCAGGGTGGTATATCTTCCTGTTGGAGATACATCTGGGATTTGCTGCAAGACAAGAGACCAAAGGAGGGAAGTTGACCAATTCAAGTCCTCCACAAAAAAAAAAAAACGACACTCATCACTCACTCTTTTGTGGTTCTTCTCCATGTCTGTTACATCAAAATAATTATCTTATTTTAAAAACAAGCTAAGTGTGTTACATATTTTTAAAATTTTATCCAGCATGGCTATATGTAGAACAGAAAAAGAGTTTAAAAGTAAGACCCTTGGGCCATTTTCCAGTGACTCTTTTAGTAATTGCAACTGAAGGCATACTTAAAGGAGTCTGCCTTTGTGCAAAATCATGCATTTGTTCACACAAACAAAGAAAGGAAAAGAAAGGATAAAGAAAGGCAATTACATTCAAGTATTATGACACGTTTTCAGGTAAGTGACCTTTCAGCAAAATCTCATTCTGCATGTAATCAAGGTTCTGAATTTCAAATAAACTTTAAGAGGAAGTGTTACCTGTAATAAGGCAATGAAGAGGAAGAAGGCGTTAGCAGCTCTTCTGATCTGCTCATACAAGAATCGAGGTAGAAATGTCAACACGCTGTACTTGGCCGTACTATAAACACAAAGAAAAATACTACTATCAGTTATTGATGTAAATTCTAAAAAAATAAAAAAACACAAAGTTTCAAATATTTTACAAGGTGTTTTAAAAAAACATTTCAAAATTCAGAACAAGTAAATGCTGTGCTGGTCCTTGCATGCAAAGCTTCTTTTTATAAAAGGACAAACCTATTAAGAAAAAATTCTATGTGATCTTTGTTTTCAAAGTTTAATATATAAGTGTTCACTAAGTTTTCACACAGTGAATTTACCCACCTTCTAGGAGCTATGTGCTACAAACACAGTGAGCATATACAGAATGTTTCAAAGATCCCGAAACAGAAAAGAGGCCCACATTCCAAACACAGTAAGATATGAACACTGAGATGCAGAGGAAGGTGGAAGCATCTATTGGGCAACTCACACAAGCAAGGCAGCATTATCATTCCAGGATCTGTGATGCTCTACAATTCTTACTACAAAGCCACTGATTCAGTGTAGAAGGTCGACTCTGTAAAACAAGCCTGGGTAACAGGCCTAGGAACAACAGTCCAGTGTTCCCCTGAATGCCCACCAAAGACATTTACCCAGCCACACCTGAGCAAACTCCACTCCTTCCACATACCCTTTATTTGGCCACCTCTGTCCATGCTTTGCTTCCACCTGGGACGGCCTCTCCACAGCTAAGCTATCCTTCCCATTGTACACTCCATCCTTATATCTTCCTTCAAGCATGGTCAAATCCACAAAAACTCTTCTTCCTCCAAGCCCACAGTATGATGTTTATACTGCATTATATAGTATCTGCTTGGCTTTAAATTGTATATATGTAGGTATCCCCAGAATAGATTCTGAGAACAGTAAAAATGTTTACTTCACCTTTGGATGTTCCTAGCTCATAGCACATAGCCAATAATCAATGAATGATGAAATAATCCAAAAGCATAAACTGAGAACCTGAAGGAGGAAAATGAACCTCACCTCTTCCAGCTGCTCAAAGGCATACCTATAAAAGTGCCTTCCTGACTCTGAGCTCCCCTTCTGAAGGCATGCTCCTGAACCAACTCCTCACTGACATGTATTCTGGCAAGGTTATCTAGCAGGTTTCAAATACACCACCAATTAGAAGCACCAACATAGAAGAGCTCAGGAGACAGAATACTAGAGGCACTCGTACTGCTGCAAGCCCTAATAGCAACCAGTCCTGGAATGACAACACAAAAACCCAAAGCTGACAACCCCAAAACTACAGCAGCTTGCGGTCACTGGCTGGAGCAGGAAATTGCCCCATGTGCCATTTATTGCCACTTCCCTCGGAGAGGATCATCCCCATGGTACAACAGCCTGGGGTTTCTGAATATGCAATGATTTCGAGTCATCCTTACAGGCTGACCTATTTTTAGCCACCTTCTGCTTGCAGTATTAAATATACATAACAAATTATATGACAACCACTTTTTAAAACAGTTCAAACTTAAAGAATATGATACTTGAAGAAATATCACTGAAATAGCAAGAAAATTTGTTTACATGGAGTCCCAGCTCTTCTACATAACCCACGGATAATGAGATGTCGTGGTAAAATTCGTCCAGGCAGCCTGAACTAGCTGGCACTAAGTTCATTAAAGAGTAGGGAAAGCATGTGCATGATAGCCCATGGCACCAAGTTTTCCTGACTTCAGTTTGCAGGACAGAGTCAGACAGAATGCCATGCCTCCCTTCACCGCAGCCCTGACCAGTGAAATAAAGCAACCAGCACTGGACAGTGCAGGAAGCATGAAAATCCACATACTTGAAGACTTGAGAAAGCATCTTATAAGACAGTTTGACTATAACATTTGAACCCAAAATTCCAACTGTATGAAAGAGACACACACAAGCACAGTTGGCATATGGCCCCACCTGTGTGTGAGCATTTCCCTCTAGAGTTAAATACTAAGTGTGCTTAAGGGGACCTGATGTGTCTGGAGGCCATGAAGATAAAAGTTTGGGGAAGAAGGAGATCCTGTTTTATGGGGAACTGATCAGCATGGCAATGGCAAATGTAGCCCAGCACCGAACGGGAAAACAGATCTGGCAGAAGGCGGCACGCAGACCCACTTTCCCATGGGGAACCAGGCCAGCATTGTGCCTAGACTGCTTTAAGGCTTGCTTGGCTCAAATTCCCTCACCCTGAGTTAAGACTGTGGATGTTTAATGTATATCTCTGAAGCAACTCCCTAAAGTCTGGGCTAAGCCATGCCAAGGACGAAATGTAACCAAATCAATTGTTTTTATCGTTCCCTTGCATTTGCAACACTTTTTTTCTTTGTTATCTGTAAGAAGTAATCACTTAAAGTAAACCTAAGTATAATGAATGAGAACCTTCTTTGATGTAGTGCAACTGGAAAGCAATAAAAGCCTGTCCAGGCAAGGGTCAAAGCACTCTCTCTGCCAGAGAGTGGCCGTGCCATCCCTTTTCTCCACAGGACTTCTGCAGTCCATGTGAATTTGTTTGTCGCATCCACAACACACAGACCCCACTGGCCAGAGTCTGCATCACTGTTTATGTCAGAAAACCAAGACAAAAAGGTAAGGTGGGGGAGGGAAAGCATACTAACTTTTATTCTTAGTTAAACTAGAAAAATGAGTCTAAAATATTTGCATCCTAAAATAGAATCAACATAATGAATAATTCAGAGAAAATGGCATTCATCTGGGAGATGGCTGCTGTACAGCATTAAAATTGTGGCCTTAATATACAGCCCTTATGTGTCCTGTTATAGAATTAAACACATAAAACTACAGCTGAAGGCAGCTCCCATCAAAATCACTGTACCAGAAGAGTTTATTTACAGCAGTGTTTCTCAAACTTAAAGATGCATATGAATCTCCTAGGGTTCTTGTTAAAATGTATTGTATTCATCAGGGTTCTCCCAAGAAACAGAACAAACAGGAGATTGTGTGTATGTGTGTGTGTGAATGTGAGCATATATATATACACTCATACACACACACACATACATATACACAGGGAGAGAGGTTTAAGGAACTGGCTCACAAAATGGTGGAGAAGTCCAAAATGCGTAGGGTTGGCTGGCAGGCTGGAGACCCAAGGGAAAATCTGATGTCTTTCGAGTCCGAGGCCATCTGCTGGCAGAATTCTTCCTTGACCAGGGAGGTCAGACTTTGTCTTACCCAGGCCGTCAGCTGACTGGACAAGGCCCACCCACAACATGGAGGGTAATCTGCTTTACGCAAAGTCCATGAATTTTAATGTTAATATCACCACCACCCCCCCCACACACACACACACAAAAAAACACTTTCACAGGAACATCTGGAATTACATTAGATCAAATATCTGGGCACCAAGACCCAGCCAAGTTGACACAAAATTAACCATTTCATGTATATTCTGATCCCATGGGTCTGGAGTGGTCCTGAGATTCTGTATTTCTAATGATTTCCCAAATGAGGCCAATGCTGGTACAAGTACTACACTTTGAGTGGCAATTACCCTTGGGGAGATAAATTTGTTCGAATCTATTTGAAGTCGATCCAGCTAAAAACTATAAGATATCAAAGGCAGGGACACATTTACCATCCACTGTACCAGAAAAAAGAACGTCTATAGGTGAAATGACCAAATGAAGGTGCTTCCCAGCAGAAAAATTTGTTTCCCCAGGTGAATTAGTCACCCCCAAAAGATTCCCACTCACACTGCACACGTCAGCATCCCTGCCAGGTGCTGCTCACAGCAAGGACAGGCAGGGGCTACATGCAAATCCAGGCATTTAGCAAGTCTTAGAACCCAGAGAAGGGGGAGAAATGACCAGAAAAAAATAAACGTTTCCTGCGGTTCACTCAATTTCCCCTACACAACTGCTAGCCCGATGTTTCCTGAAACTGGGTAACATGAAGAACGACCAGGGACTAGTCCAAAAATCCACCCATCCATTCATCCATTAACAAATATTTACTGAGCCCACTCTATATACCAGGCATGGTGTTAGGCACTACAGGGGACCAACGGGCCAAAAACACACACCCTTCAGTGAATTACATTCTATAGCAGAATTAATATTTTAAAAGTACATAGCAGGAAAGATGGTGGTGAATACTGTGTAGGAAAAGAGATCAGGGAAGGAGGTGCAGGGGCCCACCGGTGGGGTCTGGGGGAAGGGGTGTTACTTCAATGGCATGATCTGGGAAGAGTTGGCTAAGAAGGTGCTGGGTGAGCAAAGCCTTGGAGGAGGTGAAGCAGCAGGAACGTGCTGCATGAATACACAGGGGAAGACCTTTGGAGAGAGGGAAGAGCAAGGGCAAAAACACTGAGGGGGGAGCTCCTGTTGTTCCTCCTGCTGGAGGAGCACTGTGGGGGCCAGTGTGGGAGGAACCGCGTGGAGAAGTATGAAGAGAGACCACAGGGACCAACGTGAGCCTTGCAGCTCATGTTCACACACTGGCTTTTTTCTCTTCGAGAGATGGGAAGCCTCAGAAAGATTCCAAGAAAACAAGATCTGGCAACAATAGCATTGTGTGCAAAGCGTCCCTTGGGGAACCTGACTCAGGACAGGGGAGGTAATTTGGTTCTGTGTATGTGGATGGGTTCCTCTTGCTAACTGTTAGAGACTGGCAAGTGTGGGAAATCATCCATTAGAAAGAAGGGCCTGGGGCTACCTGCCTGTCGCAGGTCACAATGCACGACAGAAGTCTGGTCCCCACAGTAAAGCACAAAGCAAGAGCCCAGAGGCCAGGCTTGTGTTTCCCCAGCTGTGAGAAAACTGAAGTTGACAGCCATTCTCCAAAGACAACTCTAAAAGGCAATAGCTGCTCAGAGTGTCGTTTCCCCTTAAAACAAACCGCTTAACATTCACTTAATATTAAGCTATAACCTATATTAAGCTATAAACTAGCTTAATATTCACCTTCAAAATGTGAAAAGTAAATCCACACCGAGGTGTAGACAGCCAAAAGCAATCATTACTGTTTTTATTGTCCTGCCTTTACATGGATAGTATGTTTCTCGTA